GATTCAAAATTTAGAAAGAAGATTTTTTAAATGGTCAACCATTATATATATATATATACGAAATGTAGAATTTTCAAGAAGGTAATTTCAACACCAGAAATTAAAGGTCGGAAATTGCTACCAAAGAGTTAGAGGCATAACGAATCGAAAAGCCTGCGGCTGAACACTCACTTACTACTTTTCCAATCCCCTGAGACTCATACCTTTGTCAATGGTATCTTCGGGTGCTACATCACTCTGTTTTATAGCATCCGAAGTCCCGAAAGGATATTACGGCCTTTACTCTACATCCTCTAGACTATAAGGACATCTTTATTAGGTGTCTTCTAATTTATTTGATTTTCCAAATATCACCACACACGACTTTTGTCTCAAGTGACAAAATTTCAAGATATAATCAAAATGTTCAATTTTCAATAATAATATTAAAATTTAATTCCCATATTCGAATATTCATAATAAATGACGTCATAATGTTGACAATAGAAATTAATCAAAAAAGTTTTAATGGTTAAAATTAAAAAAAAAAGTAGTTTTAAAAATATTATGTACCTTTAAAGATTTGTTAAAATTTAATATGTTCGTAAAAATTAAATTCTTTTATACTAAATTTAAGTTGAAAATTTTAATTAAAAATTTGAATAGAAAATTTAAATTTGAAATTTAAATTTGAAATAACTTACATTTAATATAAAAAATTTAACAAAAAAATGTTTTAAAAAACTATTTTTTAAATTTTAGATAAAAATTACATTTTGTCTATACATAATATTATAAACTTTAAAAAAGGGAAAAGTTTCGAATTTCTTTTCAAATAATTTAATTTAATTAAAAAATGAATTTCCTTTTAATATGAACCCCTTCAAGAGAGCATATTGTAATACATGCATGTAACTTTCGTTGCAGAGCCACAGGCATATTGAAAAATATAAACAAATGTACATTTTATCTAAAAATATATAATAATTTAATAAACAGTTTTTAAAGAAAATTATCAAAATTTATGAATAAAGACAATTTTTGTAGAAAAATTAAGCAATTAGAGAACAAACATATTTTTCTTACGGAAAAAAAATTAAACGGAAAAACTTACTGATCGTCGATAATTTCGTACCTGAAACAAAAAAAAAAGAATAAAACGTTAATTATAACTTATTAATAATAATGATAAACTAACATTTATAATGTTAATTACTTAAATTAAATACTTAAATTTTAAAATACAAACTTAGTAATAGTATTCTTACATGGAAAAAAGATATTCAAAACTATTTAAAATAAAACACAGAAAATAATTATTCTGAAATTTAGAATATCACAGAAAAAACCTGAACTCAATTTAGTTGCAGTTCAAAATGAGCCAAAGATGTAGAATGTGGCGCCACCTACGAGGCACAGTTTTGATACGTTTCAAATTGAGTACACTACTCATTTTGAGCTCAGATTTTTCTGTATACATACTTGGCACCTATTTAAAAATATTTTATACCTAAATTTAGTATGTAATATGCTAATTTTAAGAATATTACATACTGAATTTAAGTATAAAATATTCTAAAATAGGTGTCAGTACATATTCTAAATTTCAGAATAATTTATTTGGGCAAAGAAAATAAAAGAAATAAAAAGCAATTCTAAAAATTTTATTATTGGTTACATAAAACTTGTATTATTGACTACAGAGCTTTCACATATCACTCGAAAGTTTTTCGAGGATGTCGCAAAAGTTCGAACAAGCAGAGAGAAACGAAAAGAGCACTTTTAGATAAAATGTTAAATCACATCTACACTTAAAAAAGTGACAACTACATACATGTTTAAATAATATGATACATATATACAGATAAAGTCCGAGGGGTGACAAATATATATATATATATATATTATAAATACAGAGCTTTTTCTGACTGTAATGGGATAATCGCATAAGCTCCCAGATTCGACGAGACGAGCGTTGGAATAGATGCTGTGGCTGCCTTGGTAAACATATTGCCAGAATACTACAGCACACTTTAACCCCTTCCTAATCCTGCGTAAGGATTAAAGCACAACCCCAACGTTCGATGCCCTTCACCTTCTACGTTTCACGATATAAACTTCATCCTCGCAACCTCGTATAAACTATATGATTTTATACTTTTTAAATTCCCAATTTTTTTCAATCCTTTCATTAACTGAAGATTAAAATATTTTTTTATTTTCATTAAATAGAAAACTTTTACGATAATCGTTTTTTTTTTCAAATATACTGTATACTTCAGGATTTTTTTTTTAAATCTCTTGTACCCCTCCTCAATCCTTTCAGGTCATTTCACCCTTTCCGTGGACAATTATTTTACTCCCTTGAGCAGAAAAAAAAATATTTAAAAAAATGTGCTTTGATATTTAAAATCTTGAAAAAACAAAAAAAAAATTCACAACAACAACAACAAAAACTTTTTTACGAGAATGTCTACTTTGTAATTAACTTGACGAAAATTAACAGCCTCAAAAGTTCCCAAGAAGCATTGCGTGAATAACTGAGACTAAGTTTCAGTTAATTTTTGAGTAGAAAAGATGCAGCCTGTAATTAATTATTCCTTCAGCCAGATGGCGAACGACTGCTTAAATTTCGAATGCAACTTTAAACTTTAATGAAGTGAATCGAATTATTTCTTCTAGTTTCTATAGAATTTAATATGCTTCATCGATTTTCTAGGAATGAAATCCAATATAAAATTGTATAAAAATAAAAATAATACTTATTAATTAATAGTAATTAATATTAATTTTAATAAAATTTCAGAACATCATCAGAAAATTGAAATTATTCATTATTTTAAAGTGTTTCATTAATATAAAATTTTAAAACTAAGTTGATTGAATAAATCTTCTTTTTATTAAGAATCATATTAATTCTATATACGCGTTTGATATTCACGTTTATACCTGCTTTTTGTACCGTCCGATTAACTATTAAAGTAATAAATGTATATTGATCTATAATTTTACCTAATGATAAAAAGCACATATAATGGAAATTACAGTCTATAATCGCTAACGCACACCGACTTTATGTATTTTACAAAATATTGCAAAATTTATAGCAATTTTTTAATTTTCAATAAAAGGACGATTATAAAGTACTGAAACAACATGATTTAATAATATAAATTTCGAAAAAAAAACTTTATAAAATTTCTGTATATGGTATTATAAGTTTTTTTTATTTATTCAAAACCCTACATGGAAAAAAAGAATTAACTGCACTCAGAAAAAAATTTGCAAAAATTTATTAAAATAAACCCAACGCTTATTTAGATCAAATAAATATTTTAATGTGTTTTGATTGAAGCAAATATACCAGTTCTTTGAATTAACCTAATTTTTTGGTTATTTCAAAGAAAATTTGTTTACTTCAAATAAATATTTATTTGATCTAAATAAACGTATGGTTTATTTTTATAAAAGTTTCGAACAAAAAAAGAATTTGATTGATCCAAATAAACTTTTGGTTGATTCAAACAAAAGTTTAGTATAGCAATGCATGTTCCTTCATATATTTTCCCCAATTATTCATTATCTAGTATGAAACACTTGCTTTTAGCCACTAAATTTAATACGACGCACTAATCACCTTCAACAAATATTTTTACAGTTTTTCCATACAGGTTCATTTTGAGTAACGTGAAGTTGTCTATTAACTCATTTTGATACAGATCTCATAACGAGATGCAGCAAAAATAAATTCAGTTTTTTTCTATGTAGAAGCAAAATTTTGTTGTTTCAAACAAATTTTTTTCTTAGTGTAAAAGATGTTTAGTACTCTCTTAATTTAAATTAGTAAACAATTTAACTAATTTGAATTAGTGACTCACGTTTTGCTTTTGAATTAGTTAAATCAGTGAGATTTTACTGACGAAGTAGTTAAAATTTAGAGACTGAATCACTTCAGTAAAATTTCCCCTGGAATTTAGTAACATTTCATTAAAAATCAGTAGAATTATTACCGATTTAAACCGTCAAATCTGCATTATCATTAATCGGTAAAACAGATTTGCCATGCAAATCTGCATTATCACCAATCTGTAAACAAATACTGTCTCAATCAGTAAAGAATTCTACTAATTTTTAGTAAAATGTGACTTGGAGATCTTACTGAAATGATTCAGTTGCTAAATTCCAACTATTTCGTCAGTGTAATCTCACTGCTTAAATTTTAGATAGTATATTTTAGTATATTTTTAGTATATTTTTTATAGTATATTTTTAGACCAGAATCACGGGTCAAAAAATGTTTATCTCTTTCAGAGTGGAAGCAAAAATGTCTTTAAACTCAGGGAGTTAATTATTAAATATTTTTGGGGCCTAAAAAAATCACTAATAAAAAAAATATGCAATATATATATTCATCAAAAAGGAAAAATCTACCCACTAAAAAAAAAGCGAAAAAAGAAACGAAAACCGCACAACTTCCAGGATTCGAGCCCACAACCTGAAGACACACCTTCTCAGCTTTCATCCACATCCTCTTTTCATTCTTTTTTTCAACTGGAAAGCTATTCGCATCAGGACCGCATTCGGTCCTTCTCCGCAAGTTATCAAAATTGCGATTCAGGAAAAGATCATGGTGCGCTTCGGTTTTGGTATCCGCGTGGAGGTCAAAGAACGTCTCTTATACGATCTCGCTTCAACTTGAAGTCAAGGTGGTATTTGCCAGCTGCCGTTGATCGTGTTCAATGCCGCAGTCGAAGCAAGAAAGCTGCCTTCCATATAAACGAAGTGGGGATAGAGTTCGTACATACAGGCCATGCCACAGCATCGGCTTCGGTTTCAGTCTCTCCATTACACCAATATATATTCTTATACTCCATACAAACACATTCTCTTTTAATATATACACACTCCATATATACATTTATATCTATATCTACATCCTTCTTCTTCATCCTTTCTCTCCTATCCAAAGTAGTTCGTCACCTCTCACTTGCACACGCAAACCACTCGATTCACTGATGGTGATGGTGATGCTGTGCAGTTCTACTGGCATGTTCGTAGCGAGTGGACGTGCCACCACGTGGATTTCGGAAAAAAAAAATCAAATTCCTACCCACCGGCAACCCATTCCTTGTCGTCCCTAGTCAACCAGTGATACCATATAACCAGAGGATACCAACTCCGGAAACACCGAATCCCTTGTTCCGTTTTTGTGTCTTATCACGTGCTCCAAAGTGTTAATAATATCGGACAAATTATTTTTCAATAAATACACACATCGATTTTGAAATATGGTAAAATCGGTATTTAAAATCAATTTCCATTTTAATTTTGATAATTCATTTTTAAAAAGAAGTTTATAATTAAAAAACAAAATGGTTGCACATCTTAATATTCATAACGGATAAAACATAATTTAAAGTACTAATACAGTAATATTTTACTGTACAGTAATATTCCGCCATTAGTACAATATTTATACTAAAAAGAATTCTGCTCCGTTAAAAATTTCAAAAACATGCTGTCAAAAATGTCAAGTTTCAAAATGTGCCTTTAAAAAAAAAGTCTTCTAAAAACAAGTGCTATAAAAAGCCAATGCAAGAAATATATTTAGAAATACACACATATACATTTTAGAGTAAATATTTTTAAAGCCTTTTTTTTTGCAGCTCACATTTTGTAACGCACATGTTAGTAGCACACGTTTTGAAATATATACCAACATTTTTACAGTACACCATAAAAAGAAAAATTTCGTATCCACTCGGCCTTTTAGTGAGATGAAATTGCCATATATAAAATCCGTATGTTCGAAGTGTTAGAATAAAATAGTTTGGCAAATAATAGAAACTAATTTAACCATTTTCTTTTTTACATTATAACATGAATTTTAAATTTTATTTAAAAATTTTTTAATTCAATTTCTTTATATAAAAATTCTTTTTCTCCAGTACGATAAAAAATTTCGCTTCCATCTTGAAAGACCTCGATTTTCAGAGTCGTGATGTGTATTATAAAATTCTTATATTTCTGGTATAGAGCAGATGATACACACCTGCTCCAAATTATGGATTTGACGCAAATGATTTTGCGGTATTGAATATTCGAAATCCTAGTTCAATACTTTTTCTTTTTTTTTGGGATAAAAAAAATCTAGACCGGTTTTTTACGGACCTTTTATAGAGTTTCTTTGAGAAATCAAGTGTGTTGGGGCGCCAATGAGCAGTGTTAATAGCAAGACGAGACAAGGTACCGTAAGCAGAGAGCCTTCTCCACGGAATAAAGGATATATAATGTGTCGCGTCGATGCATACAGTCTTGAACAGAGTCAGCCTCTGGAATTCGATGGAACGAGACCATCGCAAGAATGATGAGTAAGCAGCGAAAGGAATTTTGAGGGAAAAAAACAAAAAAAAAGTAAAGTAAAGTGAGAAAGTGTAAGGATGACGACGACCATGATGATAATGATGATGATACTAAGCTGCAGGAAGGGTTTTCGAAGAATCCTTGGAAAAGAAGTGAAAAGTGAAATGTCCATGTGACTCGTGATAGTTGTGTGTTGTGTGTGCCCTCTTGTGAGGAATTTCTTCCCTCATTGGGAAGAGGCATTTCTTAAAGAGGGACTTCACCAAGGTATATCTTCAAGGAACCTCTTCAAAACTAGTTAGAAAGGTACCTGAGAAGTGCCTTCTTATGTGTTTTCACAAAAATATAATTTTTTTTATAAAAGATCAGATTGCCTTTTTTGAAAGTACTTTCAATACTTCTTTTTTTTTAAATAGTTTTTAGTGCCACCATATATAGATACTGGGTTATGAAATATCTCTTAAAGTGCTGTACTTAAAATTGTAAAGTACACAGAAATTGATACTCTATAAAAACTCAACACGCGTGAATATTACCTACTCTCTAAAGAATTAGTAAAAATTGTAACTTTATTTGAATTATTCACTGTTGAATTAGTTAAATTTTGCTAATTCGATAGTAAAAAATTTTTACTATCAAATTTTATTAATTCAAAAACAAAAAATGAGTCACTAATTTAAATTGGTAATTTTTACTAGTTCAAGAGAGTAAAAAATTGTTTATCATTGGTTCGAATTTGTTTTTACAAATTTTGTTAGATTTCATTTTTAATTTTTTTAAAAATAGATTTTATTTAAAAAGGAACTTTATACCGGAATTTTTATTTAACAAAAAATACTAATTGAATTTTTATGTCAATGGTATTTCTATAAAAAATAATCAAAATTGCTGTGTACTTTACAAAGGCTTTTGTTTCTTTTAATCTTTTCTATTTTCTTTTTACATTTTTCTTGTTCATCAACCCATTGACAATGAAAGTAATTAAACCTTTATCAAATATAGTATTTCTATTTCTTAACGGTTTTTGCTAAAATTCGATAATAACAAAATGGTATTTGTTTCAAATACAGAAATTATTGGTTCAAATACAGTTTATTTAATTCAAATAAAAATTAATTGGTTCAATTAAATATTTATTTGATAATAGTCAAGTAACAGATTATTTGGAGTGCATGATTATCCCAATAAAAATCTTTACTTAAAATTTAAATTTTAAAGAATTTTATTAGATATTATTATTTTTTATAGGCGAATTTTTATTTTTCCAATTAACATTTGACAAAATTTCTTTTTAAACAAATTTCTACTCAGCAGAATTTCAATGTATCGAACTTTTATAGTACAGAATTCTTAAAACGCCGAATTTTTATTTGTCCGAAACTGCAAATGGCCGAACAAACAATAGACAGAAAGATTTCGGCGCGATGTTTAAAATTCACCAATCAAAGATTGTCAAGAAAATTGTGATTGGTAGATTTTAAAAATCGCGCCGATATCGATTGTTTGTTCGGCCATTTGCAAATTCGGATAAATAAAAATTCGGCGTTTTAACAATTCAACCAAATAAAAATCTTTAAAAAAAAAGAATTTCTGACAAATGTTAGTTCAAAAAATGAAAATTTGTCTAAAAAAATAATTATACCTAATAAAATTATTGAAAATCAAATTCAAATTCAACAATAAATAGATTTAAATAGAAATTTTTATTTATCCAATAGAATGAAAATTCATTTAACAAAAAATGTAATTCTCTTTCATTTCTTAAATTATTTAAAAATTATATAATTCGAAATTATATGCAGTAGAAAATAAAATAAAAATTTAATTCTTGTAAAAAGGATTCAAAACTTGAAAGTACACTATAAAAATATTATGTCAATGGGTTGAACATGAGTTGAATGAAATTCAGTAGAGCGACTCGATGATAAGGTTCTTTTCATTTTCTATGAAATTTTCAATAGGCAAAAAAGAAGGGATATCTGATCCTGAAATTTTTTTTTTTTTTTCAAAGTTGGGTATGAGGAGATTCACACGCAGGCGAAAGACCCTAGCAGCAATTTCGGCGATTATGGGACGCCTCGGAAAGAGTCTGCAGAATACGACTCGACCCATCTTTAAAGTACATTATCGTAAACTCGACGACGAATACAATCAAAATCATCTTCAGCAACATCAAGAACAATTGAAGTGCATGTCAACATTACCAGAATACATGTCTTACTGTTGCTGTCAGTGTGGACACACGCAAAAATTGAAAGTAAGTTCATTTTGCGGATAGATGAAAATAAAATTTATAAAGTTGGAATGCAACTGATTTCTCAAAAAAAAAAATGTAATTAATACTTTCCACCTCTCTGGATCGTTTAATCAAAATGATAATACTTATTTAAAAAGCCCAACATCTCAGACAATATTAAAACCGAAATAAACTGCAGATTAAAAAGTGATACAGAATTCTGGTAAATAAAGCTTCAAATAAAATTTTGAATATTCTTAAAAAAACCGTCCTCTACAGAAATTGTAGGGAAAATAAAAAAATCATTTTGATTTTACAGAAAAAAATTTCACTAAATTTTATTAGTTGTCTGTACTTTTTTTTTTATCTTTTGACAATTTCTTTGATTCTCATCTCGATCACGAAAGATCGTCGCTCGTTAACGTGGCTCGTTACTTGAGCTTCGAGTGCATTCGAGTGGCCCCCACAAAGTATTCGGTGAACGCTATCGATCATCACCAGACTCATAAAGCGCGATGGGAAACTTTCAAATATCAAGTAGAGTTCGCCAAGCTACTTTTTCCTTCACTATATACATATATATATATATACCCATCTACCGATCCGATGCCATATCTTTCACTTTTTATTATACATATATTGTCCGACTGTTCTTCACAGAATATTACATATCCCTTTCCCACATCCCTTAACCAAAAAGTTTCCTTTTTCCAAACTTTTCAATTCTCCAGAGTCGAGGAAACATTCTTTTAATTTTGGATAATAAAACATTTTTCCTTTCTTTTTGACACGCCACTCTTTTAAATTGGAATTTTTATCATTTCTGTGGCGTAAAAAAAAATTTTTTATCCTAGAATCGTATGCAGAAATTGTCACATTTTTTGAACTAATTTTCACACACAGAGAAATGTTTTATTTGAACCAAATATAATATATTTGAGATAAATAAACGTATATTTGTCTCTAAGCCAACTAGCTCATTTATTTAAATCAAATAAATGATTAAAATGAATGATTTTTTAATATTTTTTTTTTTTAGTAACGAAATTTCCTTATATTTTGAATGACAATAATTTTTATATTTCAATAATTGTTGTAACCAAAAATTATATAAAAATAAATATAAAAATATATATTAAAAAAATATATATAAAAATACATAAATTATTATATAAACATCCACTTTTCTTCAATGTACTCAAATCAAAAAAATTATGTTTAAATGAACTCTTATAACTAGTAAAGTAATAATGAACTTTACAAAACGGTTTGTTTTTGATTAAAAAAAAAGGAGTGTAACAACACTTCAAGCCCTTTTTCGTAAATGAAGGAATCTAGAAAGAATGTTAATCGTTTATTTATGTGAGTTAGAAAGCAGTTCTATAAAATGTGAAATGTGAGATTCTTTAAATTCTTTTCAATTGAACACCCATGCTTGAATACACTAAATACAATTTATTTCCGGACAAAAATTTACAAAACACGATATTTAAATTTAATATTTTAAAATCCGCTTTAAAGAACATAAAATTTTTTTAAATTTTATTTTTGAAATACTGATTTCAAAATTTACATAAAACGAAAAATTACAATACATATCAATTTAAAAAAATAAATCATAAAATGTCATGAAAAATTAATAATTTTGTAAATGTACACAAATAAAAATCAAATTTTAATAAATAAACCGAAACTAGTTAAGAATTAAGTAGTTAAAAATAAATTCATTTAATTTTTATATTCTTCAGTATTTCAATAAATAACAATAATTATTTTCTTTATAAAAATAATAATTTTTCTTTTGCAAAAAAATTTAATGTCATTCAAAAAGAAAAGTTTCTATTACACTTTTGTGAAAATATTAAAATACCTTTCACCATTTTTTTTTTACATTATTGCAATTTCTGTTCAGTGGTGAGCGACTCCGTGAAAAAAAAAATGTGTCGCTGACACTAATTAAGCTAATTAAAAATCGTTACCGGACGTTATCAACGGTCACGCAATTTGTCGCAATTATTTCAGACCATTATTTTTAATGAAAGAAACTTTCGAGTCATTTCTCTGTTCAGTTTCTGAACAACATTTTGATAATTTTGTGTTTTACAAAACAAAAAAAACATCTATTTTTCCTCTATATTATCTTTAATTTTATGTATTTCTTAATTGATTATTTATTGTATATGAATTATTTATTATTGCAAAAAAGAAAAAAAATTAATACTAATGGATTTAATTCTTTTTTTTTCAAATTTATCTTTGACAGAAACAAATGAAACAATCGTGTTGCATTAATGGCAATTAAAGGATTCGATAAAAGCTGGGATTAACTTCGAAATCGATGAATTTACAAGATTCGTATCGCAATGTAACGAGTTAATTTTAGCAGTTTAATTTTAATACCCGACAGTGAGACTGGATTCTATCCTAATGCTAACTGGTTCACCAATAGATATAACTATCTTTAAAACCGGAATTTTATCTTCCATCATCAGCTACTGTTTATTTTTCTTCCTTCAAAGAAAAAAAAGGTTATATTCTCTTTAAAAAATAATTTATTTTCACTTTAAAACATAAACTTTAATAAAACCACTGATACGACGGCCATTTCTATGGGATTAAATTCTGTTTTGCTATGTAATTAAAAATAAATTTTAACTCACAAACTATTACCGTCTTTTACAAAAAAAAATGAAATAAACCACTGGTATTTATTAATTTGTCAACAAAGTTATATTTTTTAATTTAAAAAATTTATTCAATTCTGATGAAAATTAAATAGAATTCAATTTTAATTTACATGAAAAATTTATATTTAAACAATTTTTTTCAATTAAATATTTACACCCAGAAAAAGGGGTCTCAAAGACAAATAAATATTCAATTATTTTAAATAAATTTTATTTCAGTTTTAAATAAAAATTTTATTTGCACTAAATAAAATTTTATTTGTACTAAATAAATTTTTTTATTTAAAATAAAAATCTGTTAGGCACTGAGACAAATTTATTTTTATTTGCAATGCAAATCCAAAATTTTAGTTCAAAATAGTTCAACAATCAGCTTTTGATTTTTTTCTAAATTATTTATATTTGTAAATAATTTAACTGTTATTGTCCAGCAACATAATTTCGTTCCCATTACTATATAAGTTATATATTATAACTATCTTAAACTCCTCTTAAGAGGTATCGTAAAATTTTTAACAAGCTTCCCTTTTTTTAAAAAAAAAGCTCAAAAGAAATTCCTATTTAACTTTTACTCTCAAATTTATGGAAATTTTATGAAAACAAATAAATACCAATGTTAAAATACTATAATCTGCACTGAAAAAAATTTATTTAATTCAAATACTCGATTACTTGACTATTGTCAAATAAATATTTACTTGAACTAAATAATTTATATTTGAATTAAATAAACTTTATTTGAACCAATAATTTCTGTATTTGAAAAAAATACCATCTCAAATAATAATTATTTGTTACAAATAAATATTTATTTGATAATAGTCAAATAACCGATTATTTGAATCAAATAAAATTTTTTTCAGTTTGATAATATTTAATTTTAAATTATAAAAATTATTTTTCTTAAATTTTGTTATATAAATTTTTGTTTTTTTTCGTAACATGAGGAATTTTTGTAAAACCTATATTGTCAACACCATCCTCATCTAAAATTACAGATAAAATTAAAATTATCGACTCATTGAGCCGCAGAAAATAACTCTGTGTCCTGAAAACATATTCCTGGAAGGATATAAATACACGACATAAATTATTTTTGACGGTATGAAATTCCTTATGCAAGAATACAAAAATAGCCACAGCTATTTTAACTACTGGTATATTGAGCAGGTGGTTGATCAATTATTTAATGCTTTAATATTATATAGAATATTAAATTTTATTCTAGAGAATTATAAATTTCAAAAATAAGTCACATTTATTTTTATCGAAATGTCAAATGGAAAAAAATGTGGAAATTTTGAGTTTTGAGATATATTATTTAAAAAAATTTCCCTTAAATAAAATTTTATATCGTGTGCAAAAAAATAAACGGTTAATAGCCTTGATTCTTATCGTTTCGCCTCCACAAGTGTTTTTACAAATACCAATTTGCATTTTGACGTGCAGTTACACAACGCAAAATTATACGTTTTAGACGACGCGATTACGTAATTTAAAGTGTCATTGTGCTGAAATTACCAACATTGCTTTTTAGCATGTGCATTCTAAGATGTGGTGCCACAAAATACAAAAATGAATTTTAATCATTTTTTTAGAAGAAATATTAGAAGAAAATTTATAACTTACATTAGCGAAAAATTAAAATTTCAATGATTATTCGGATGAAAAAGAAATAATTCGAAAAGAATAAAAAAAAAGGGAAAAAAGGAAAAGAATATCGACAAAATGGAAATTTAAAAAAATCAAAAGGAATTTCGTCCAAATGATAATTTAAATAAAAAAACAATCAAATGGAAAATTCAGACAAGAGAAATTTTTGGACACAGAATAAAACTGAACTCAAAATGAGTAGTATACTACTCATTTTGAAATGCAGCAAAAATGTTTCAAATTGAATCTGGTCAGGTTCATTTTGAGTTCGAGATTAATGTTAAATTATTATCGTGGACAAGCAAATAATTACTTTAAAAAATATTAAATAAAATAATTGTTTTTAATAAAAAAAAACGAATAGCCTTAAACTGTAATTCTTGAAGTTGATTTACACAAATTAACGAAATTAAATAATAGAATTTTTAGGTTAGGAATCTTGTTGACGACACTGACGCCCCCATTAAAAAATTCGAGATTAATTAAAATTAAATTATAAATACAACCAATTTGAAATGTTTCTCTGTTTCCTCATAAATTTTTCTCAATTATTCATTATCTAGTATGAAACACTTGCTTTTAGCCACTAAATCCAATACACTTTGAATAACGTGAAGTTGTCTGTTGACTCATTTTGATGCAAATCTCATAAAGAGATGCATAAAAAATGAGATCAGTTTTTTTCTGTGGACAGATGAAAATTGAATGAAAAAGAATTTAGACGAAATTTCGAATTTTAAAATAGAATTCCAATGAATCAAAATCTGAGATAAATAATTATAAATTGAGACACAGAGAAAAAATATATTTATCTCATAGCAAAATAATTATTTATTTTAAATAAATTTTATTTGATTTAAATAAAAATTGTTTTTGTGCTATTTTATTTGCCTCAAATAAAATATTTCTTTGAATATCTATTTTTTGCCAAAAGAATAAAAAAATTTTTTTGATTCAACTTGTAGTTGAAAAATTTTTGTTTAAAAGAGGAAATGAACAGTATATCAAAGTCTCTTATAAGAAGTGCTAAAAATGAACAAAGTTTAAATAATGTTAGCCTTAGGAGTAATACCTCGTCAGTTGAGAGGGGAAAGGGGTAAGAGCCGTGGGATCGGACGAGCGCATTCCTTAAGTCCCAACTCTGCCTCAGTATATAGGATCCCTTCTGTAAATGTAAACTGCTTTCGCTTTTGCCTCGCGTTATGTATGCACACGTGTGTGTGTGTGTGTATTTAAAAATTCTAGTTATCCAAATTTATACATTTTTTATTTCCCATAAAAAATGATAGAGCAATCTTTATACAACCAATACATCTCTATGATATCTTTAATGCGTTTATAGAAAAAATATTTTTTTACATCTCTTAAACTTGATTTACAACACTGACAAGGCCATTTATTTAAAAATAATATAGTATTTTCTACCAAAATATTTATGATTAAGCAATTTTTTAAAATTATCCATTTTTAAAATGGTAATTTTTTTAAATACGACGAAAATTATAATTTTGAATTTTTTTTTACTCTTTTCTCAATAATAAAAAAATATTTTCTCGATGAAATTTTCAACTATTGAATAATGAGAAACATTTAAAAAATGAGTAATAATTAATTAAGACGCGTGAAATACTGAAAAGTTCAAAACTTTTGACGGGATCTAAATAGCAGTCGATTTGTAACAACGAACCAAAGTTGAGAGATTTAAGAGAGGGATTGGCACAAAACAAGATGGGTCTGATAAAAATAAAGAAAGGACAAAAAAAAAGAAAAGAAAAGGCGGAAGAGATAAGGGAAAAGAAAAAGAAGAAGAAGAAGAGAAATCGGGATGAAAAAAAACGAGGTTGATATTAACGTATACGAAAATAGAAAACAGGAGAGAGGAATGTGTACATGCGAGATACGAATAAGAAAAGAATAAAGAAAGAAAAAAAAGGAGAATGAAAAAAAGGACTTGACATTGGGCAAATAAGACGGGAATGAAGAGACAGAAAGGAAGAGATCGATCGTCTTTCTGCAGGAAAAAAAAATCCCACTGATATTGGCAACTGTCCATTTATTGGTATTTTTTTTAAGCGAGTTCTTTTTTTCACATACACGAAAGGGGGAGATTTTTTTTTTGCAATAGAGAAAATTTTTTATTAAAATTGAACGAAAGATATAATTAAATTATGGAAAAAAAGAGGCGAACCGTTGTAAAAAAAATGAAATTCCCAATATTTTCACTAATCATGAAAAATTCAAAAAATTTTAACAAAACCAGAAATTCTCTCATGAAGAATAACTATAGTAAATTATATGTGGAATTTAAATAGATTTCATCGTGAAACTCGTTCAGGATGCAAGTAATCTCTTCGCCAACCAGTGCGAAGAAAATAAAAAAAAAACAACAAATCTTTTTTCCCTTGCAAGTGTTGCAATTGTTTACATAAATTAAATTAAACCCATGTTTGCGCCAACCGAATAAACAGACTTCAATAAAGTATGAATTAGCACAAAGCTCAAGTTACCTGATATAATTTTTCAATTTAATTGTAATAGCTCAATTTATTCAATTATATAAAGCAAAATTTAAATTTAATAAAGAGAAAATAATTAACTTATTAATTAATTATACATAGGTTGTTAAAATACATCCAGAGAAATGTTTTATTTGAACCAAATATAATATATTTGAGTTAAATAAATGTATATTTGTCTCAGAGCCTACTAGACCATTTATTTGGCGTAAATAAAATTTTTTATTTAAATCAAATAAATATATTTACTTGACTCTGAGATAAATATATAATTTCTCTGAATGTAATAAACCAAACAATAATTTTAACTAAATAATAATAATAATAATAATAAATAATTAAATATAAATAGGTAATTATTATATTGAGATATAAAATGAAATAATTCTAAATAAATAATATATTTATTCGTTAATTAATTTTTTATTTTAGAAAAATTACTTTGTAATGTATTTGTTTTCGAATTTTTCCTATTTTTAAAAAAAATGGCATAACTTTTGGTGTGTACTTTGTTAGTAAAATATTTAACCTATTGTACTGTGAACATAATAAGGGGCTTTAATAATTAATATCGCGCCATTTCGATCGTCTAAGTATCTCCCTGGAGTATAAGACAATTATGTACCAGTAAACACGATGTAAATGCTCGTTGCAGATCGTTAAAGCAAGTAAAAAGCAATGTAGGGTGCAGCATAAAACTAAGTAGCCTTGGCTGTGGCTCAAACTATCTTACATGAAAAACCCTTTTGCGAAACTGTAACACACACTCTTAGTATAACCGACTTCCCTTTTTTTAAAAATATTTTTCGAAACTTTTAAAGTTACTTTTAATAAATTAAGAAAAATAAACAAAATTTCTGATTTTAAATCTTAACTTTAAAATCTGGTACCAAAAAAAGATTTTTTTAAATCAAATTTTCATTTAACAAACTTTTTTATTAAACTGAATTTTCATTTAGCAGAATTTTTAATTGGCTCAAATAAAAAATTTATTTGAGCCAAAAAAAAATTTATCTATGAAAAAATTTTTATTTACGCCAAATATAAGTTTATTTAATTCAAATATATTTTATTTAGTTCAAATAAATCATTTCTCTGGATGTATATTAAATTAGGAAAAAAATGTCAGATTTTTTAAATTAAATATGACAGATTTAAATACAATAATTATTAAAAATTTCAAAATAAAAAAAGAAAATAATTGCATATATCAACAGTTTGACAAATTGACATCAGACGTTTACATAAAAGAGAACAAGTACATGTGGTCATAATCACAGGCCCGCTATTAACTTATATTAACATGAATCACAAAGCCTTTAAAAATCTTGCGTGCGTGAGACCCTAAAATACAAAAAAAAAAAAAAAAGAAAAGAAAGAAAGAAGTCAGCTCACTAGATTCAATAAATGCAGCTGCTGGGCAATGTGTGCTTCTGTCCAGACAATTTTCACATAAAATATGCTTTTAATGACTCCATTTATGACCAGTTGAATATTTTATTCTTTATTGACTCTGTATATGCTCCTGTTCTCTCTTTTTTTTAATTAATTTTATCATTCATCAAATGAAAACTGCAGCAGCTGTTTTTTTTAATTACAATTACTTAAAATGCATTTTTTTTATGCTTTTCTGACTTTTACTTTTCATATTCGATAAACAGGTGGATGTTTAAGAGATTTTTCATTAATATGAAAAATGTTTAATTTTTTTTTTACATTTCATCGTCGCAGTTAAATTTACTTTTTAAAAAATTTAATTTCTTATTATTATACATCCAAAGAAAAGATATATTTATCTCTAAGATAAATAATTATTTATTTGTTTCAAATAAATTTTTTTTGAGTTAAATAAAAATTTCATTTGCGCTAAATTAAATTTTTTGAGTTAAATAAAAATTTTATTTGCGCTAAATTAATTTTTTTTTGAGTTAAATAAAAATGTTATTTACGCTAAATAAATTTTTTTATTAAAAACAAATAAAATGTTATTGATGCTAAATAAATTTTTTTATTAAAAACAAATAAAATGTTATTATAGGCTTTGATACAAATATACTTATATTTTTTAAGGAATTAATCTTGCAGAACTAAAATTATTTTTTAATTTATTTACAGTCTACAACGACTTTTCTAAATCTGAATTAGTTAAAAATTAATTTCTTAGTAAAATCTTGACCGATTTTTTGCTTCAGCAATTATTAAAAAAGAACTAATTATTAGTAAAAAGTAACTAATGAAAAATAATTGAAAAAATAGTCAAATTTTACTAATTAAAGTAATTACGATAAATTTTAATTATTTTAAAATAATCTAAAAATGAATTTAATTAAACTGATAAAAAAAATTGATTTGATTCAAATAATCGTTTATTTTACTATTATCAAATAAATATTTATCTGCATTAAATAATTATTATTTAAGTCAATTAAATGGTATTTGTTTCAAATACAAAAATAATTGGTGCAAATACAATTTATTTAATTCAAATAAAAATTATTTGGTTCAAATTAAATATTTATTTGATAATAGACAAGTAATCAAGTATTTGAATCAACACGAAATGATATATTTATCTCATAGCCTAATAAATATTTATTTGATTCAAATAAATTTTTATTTGATTTAAATAAATTTTTAATTTGATTTAAATAAAAAAAAAAATTTTACGCCAAATAAATAGGCTAATAGACTGTAAGACAAATATACGTTTATTTAACTCAAATGTATTATATTTAGCTTAAATAAAACATTTCTCTAGGTGAAATAAATTTTTTTCATGTGCAAATTAGTTATTTTTAACGAATTCAAATTAAGAGAGTAAATAAAAAAAATAACAATGAGAAAAAATGTAACTGTATCAAATAATTTTAAACAAATTTAATTTCTATATTGTACATGATATTTAATTGAATTTCTATTTATAACCAAACTGCAATTTAACGAATCAATAAACAAATAAAACAACGAATAAATTTTTTTTTTAATCTCGAGTAAAATGAAATTTGTAAAATATGATTTCAGCCAGAGGAGCTAAACGCTATTGTGGGTAATGCATTTCGTATGGCGTACGTGGCCCAACTTCAACGACAACCTATTCTTCAGGACGTAATTTCGTCACGAACATCACCTCACTACCGCAAGGATAAACAAGATACTAGGACAACTTGGGTATATATACATATATATATATAGAACAAGTTTCACTTAATATTTGACCAATAAAAGTTACTGCGTCTCTCTCTCTATAGCTTCATCTTCTTCAAATCTAATCTCTTTTTATGGAACCTAAAAACCCCATATAGACAGCAAAAACTCCATTACTTATATATATTATTACCGCAATCGTCAATTTTATTGCCTCATTTACCAATTCATTTCAATTGAAATTGAAAATGGGACAAATTTTTTCATTAAAATCAATTACAATTTTATATAATATGTTTTCTCTGCGTCTATATGATTTATTATCTTCGTTAAGTTTTTAACATAAATTGCTCATTTAAATAATAATTCTGTATTGTATTTTCTATTTATATAAATAGTCTTCTGTTTTGGTCATTGAAATTTCTAATTTAAAATTCTAATTTGCTAAGTGACTGAATTCAGATAAATTGCTTTTTAAATTCGAATCACTTGAAAGTGAATTAGATCTCAAATATAAACTTTTACATTCGTTGAGAGATTTTTTCGAAATTTAAATTAAGTTTCCGTTAATTTACTTTTCTATTCTTTTTTTTTTTAACGTTTTTCAAATGCACTTAATTAAAGTTTTTTCCATGTTTATTTCATGTGGTTTACTAATAAAAATAACAACAATAATAATAGTAAATAGTAATAATAATATAATATATATTATATTATAATTATTGTTAATAATAATAATAATAATTTTATTTTGATTTATTTAAAATTCACAGCGAATTTAAATTTATAGGTAAATAAAAAAAATTTATAATTAAAATAATTTCTATTTTCATGAAATGTTTTTCAAGTAATGTTTTTTAGTCCCCTATTTTAGTCTTATTGTTTTAAAATACACGAGAAACCCCTTTAATTTTATTGTGTGTCCGGTTTTTCTTTTTTTTTGGGCAATTTATAAAAATGAGGAATGTTTGGACCATTATTTTGAAACCACAGTTTGTCTTTGGGAGTTAGAAACTTTACTGGGCGTGGTAGAGAAAGGGTTGGAGAAGAACGAAAGCCACTAATTTGAGGATAGCTAGTAGCTACAATGTGAATAATCCCCGTGGAACACGATTGCGTAACTTTAGCGCTGAATTAGCGCCAAATTAATGAACGTTTTCAACCGATCATTGTAGACCCTCCATTAAGTTCTGACTGAGATTCATTTAAAATATTCTCTATATATATATATAATTCAAATAATTAGCCTTTCTCACACTAAAACCATTCATTTAGCAAAATAATAATTATTTTAATTTACAAAAAATCGAAATAAATTAATTTCACTTGATGTCCAATACTATATGCGCGCATTACTAATGAAAATAATTTACTAATTATTTAACAACCATTTTACAACTACCAAAGGTGTACAAAACTCTAAGAAAGAGAAAATTTCGAACTAACACCAAAAAAAATATATTTTTAATTTGAAAAAAATTAAAATCCACAAGAAAAAATGATATGATTTTTTTTTATGAGGAATAAAATTAACATTTAAGTAGGACCCAGGGGAATGTGATCCAGTCAATTCGAATGGAATCGACTCTCGAGTGAGAAGTGCCTTCTGCCTCCTCATTCAACCACATCGAGGTCATCTGCGGTTTACGTTTTCTTTTACTGTTTAAAAAAAAAAAAATAATAAAAAATCTTAACTTTTACGTATCTCCAGTTTAATATTCATAAGCTTTGAAAGTCTATTTAAACTTCTCATTAGTAAAATTGCTACCTTTGCTCTGCCACATTTTTGTGGTATCAAAGTAGTTTATTATTATTATTTTTATTATTACTATTTTTATTATTACTATTTTTATTATTACTATTTTTATTACTTTTAATTATTTTTAATATTATTTTTAATATTATAATTATTCTTGTTGTATTAATTGAAAACGCATTAAATAACATGAATTTATATTTGTAATTGATTTTATTGGAATTTAATTTGTTTGTATACTTGATAAATTTTTATTAGAATACCCTTTGAAAAAATTAAAAAAGAAAATGTAAACGGGAAAAAAAAAGTTTTAATTGGAAATCATAATTGGCTTATTTTACTTTGGAAATAAACATTTTCTACTCAAGTTTTTTTTTTTTGCCTCTCTTGAGAGGGAGTTCGATTCATATAAATTCGTATTTGCCAATTATTATTGTATTTTTCTTATTAAAACTCAAAATTGCTTTTTTCTATAAAATTAAAAAAAAAAATTTAGGATTCGAATTACAAAAGAAACTTGTATTTTTGTTCAAAAAAAAAAATATATAAAATAATTTTCCATTAAGCACAATCGAAAGAAAAGAATTTTCAATTTAAAGCAATTTGGACTAATGCACTTTTGCCATTATACACTTGATTTTCGAGAATTTTTAGCAATACAACAGTTTTTTTTCCAGAATTTATTTTTTAAAAATGTAACAAAAATCAGAAATTTGTTAGAAAATTTCATAGTGATTTATTTTTTAGTATTTAATTAAATAGGATTTATATTTTTAATAAATTCCTGTTTAGAAATCTCTCAAAGGCAAAACAAAAAAAAGTCCAAAGAAGAAAAAATAGAGAAAATTTTTCGAAAAATTAATAGGATTATTTATTTGCAGAATAAACAATTAGAAGATGGTAGTATGAGCAATGTTAATACTGGAGGAGGAGGAGGTTGTAGGATTCCATTATCAATTTCGTGGCTGAAAAGTCAAACACCGTTGACGCCCACGTCCCGAATTGAAAGCGGTTCACTCGCAGCGGATATGAACGTTCAAGTCGACAGCGCCGGTTCACCTACGCTGAGACTCGTCAGCGTAAAGGTATGTACAATTATATATATACATATAACACTCTCTCAATTGGCGAAGAGCTAACAGACCCTACATTAACGCGGTCAAGACTAAGACGAAGACTAAAGCCACCTCAAATCATGCCAAGCGAATCTACTTTAATTAGAACCTATTCTAACTAACGAGCTTCCACTATAAACAGTGCAATATTACACCCTAAATTATTTACCATTTGAATAATATTCAATTATTAAATTGCAATTATAACGATCTCGTATATATATATTTACACCCAGAGAAATAATTTATTTGAGACAAGTAAAATTTAACTGAAGCAAATATTTGTCTCAAAGAATTAGAAATTATTAATTAATTTAACAATTTTTTTGTTTTAATATTTTGAATAAAAAAAATTTAGCACAAATAAAATTTTATTTAGCGCAAATTTATTTAATTCCAAAATTTATTTGATAGAAATAAATATTTGTCTCTCAAACTAATATATTCTGAGTGTATTAATTTAAAAAAAAAAAATTGCAATTAAACATAAATTTTACATTAAGTGTTTTGATAATATTTAAAAAAGTATTAAAAATGTTATTTTGTTATTTTTATAGTTGCATGAGTTTTGTTGGAGAATCTCCAAGTGTTTCAAAAAAAATATTGAAATTCAATAACTTTATTAAATAATAAAGTTAAAAAATAATGTTATTGTGAAAATTTTTACCAAAAATTATTCAATACTAATAGAGTAAAAAAAATAAAGAAACTATTTCCCAACATATTAATTTAGTTGAAAATTTTACCTTTGCCAGAAGAATTGGAACTGCACGATTGGAATCCTTCCAGTTTTCAAATGTCGAAAGCATTTCACTTCATTTCGAAATAAAATATTTGAATCAATAAAAAATTCCAAAAAAAAAATATTCAATACTTTAATTTTAAATAAAAACTATTTTTATCTACTATTTTTACACCTAGAGAAATGTTATATTTGCGTTTGTTTTCGAATAAAATTTATTTTTTTTTTCAAATAATAAAAAATTTAATTTGGCGCAAATAAAATTAATTTTTTTTTTTTTTTAAATAAAAATTTAATTTAACAGGAATAAAATTTTATTTGTGACAAATAAAATTTATTTGAAACAAATAAAATTTATTTAAAATAGATATTTATTTGGCTCTGAGACAAATATATTATTTCTCTGGATGTAAGAAATGCGATTCAAATTGATTTTAACTTTACATAATTTTAAGAAGACTATTTTTTCATCAAAGACGTGTGATTCAAATATTTTTTCACTCCCGCACTCATTGTAACTGAATACATATTTAATTTTTGCGAAAAAAAAATGTTTACAAAATTTTGAAAAGTTTTTTAAAATTACAAACTCTAATATTTAGTAAATTATTTATTAACGCGATTTAAGTTGACGAATTTTTAATTATAAAATTTTAAAAAGAAAAATTTTATTTTAAAATCGCGAACGTAAATTATTTATAAACGCGATTTAAGTTTACGAATTTTTATTTATAAATGTTTAAAAAGAAAAATTATTTTTTAAAATTGCATTCTGACTAATATTTAGGAAATAGTTTAGAAACGCGTTTTAAATTTACAAATTTTTATTTGCAAAATTTTAAAAAGAAAATTTATATTTTAAAATCGCGCACTGAGTTTAATATTTAAATAGTTTATAAACGCGATTTAAATTTTACGAATTTTTATTTTAAATCAAACTTTTAGAACCGTTAAAAAATCCCCATGACTTTATTATCCTTTTCTCCTCAAATAGCTCTGAAAACAGAAAAAAAAAAAAAATTTTTTTTTCATCTACTTTTCAGTAAAACGAGATATTTAAAAATAATAAATAAATAAATTTTAATTTTTGTATTTCATATAATTTGTTTTTAATTTTTTCAACTTACCATAATAAAAAATATCTTTTTTCCAAATAATCCTGTTTAGATCAGTAAGCATTCGGAGATCCCTTCTCTAGGTTATGATTCAAATTATCCACGATTTATCGTGAAAAATTTGCGAACATTACCATTCAAAAAGACCGAGCTTTTACTGATCCTCAACTTTATTCGTGAACAAGATCGAGATATATAGTTTATTCTTTGATGTACACGCAGGGACAGGATCTGAAAAAAAAAAAAAATTTTTTTAATTCTCCATGGAATAAAAATTAAAAAAAAAAACTTTTTAAAAAATATTTTTTGTAACTTCAAATTAAACCGAAACAGGAAAATTATTATTATTATTATTATTTATACTAATAGATGCTGATACTTCAAATTATAATTATTTTTTAAATAGACAAATTTTGAAAAATTTAAAAAATTTATAATATAAATAACATAACCTTTAATTTTATAATAATAATTTATAATATTAACCAAAATTGTGTCGCATTATTATTCACTATAAAATAATATTTAAAAATATTTTAAAAATTAAAATAATAAAGTTTCAAAGCATCCAGAAATGTTGTCACATAATCATTATATTCTTTATTATAAATAGTAACGGGAATTATTATTCGTATGACGACAAAAATTGCACTGAATGTGCGGAGAATTCCACACTTATTGGGATTTACAAAATTTGATGATTAAAAAAATATAACCTATAAATTTAACTAAAACTCTCTATAATAATAATAATAATTTTTCAAAATATTCAACAATGGCAAAAATGTAATTATTGTCACATAACCATAAAAATTCTTCATTTATTAAGAATATAAAAGAGCGGCGAATGCGAAGGGAGAATATACCCCGTCGATAATATATTTATTTTTTGCTAAATAGATAAAAATTGAAAAAACGAAACTCACCTTAATATATAGAGAATCCCGTGCTTTAATATAAGGTACCCTTTTTTTTCTTTTGCCCTTATCTTAATCTAACGTGATACACCACAAGCCATCGAGGAATCTGCAACAAAAAAAAAAAAAATGATGATTAACAATAAGCACGATGCAAGTTCACTATAGCCGCCATCTTGGAAAAATGTCAAAGCAAAATGCACGTATTTTCAATAATTTTCTTTATTTTTCGCAAATTTTAACACAAAATAAATCGACAATCAGACCTGTCAACCGATCTATTAACAATCAAGTTGCAGCAAATTCACTATAGCCGCCATCTTGGAAAAATGTCAAATTTCGCAAAATGCACATTTCCAATCATTTTTTTTTTTTATTTTTTGCAACTTTTAACACAAAATAATAAACGACACTATTTTTAGGCTATAGCTTTTTCGTAATATGACAATATTTGAACTCGATAATATGAAATTATTTGATTTTTCAACATTTTACAAGGTAATCAACCATGCCATTTATCAAGGCACACATATGGGGCGAATAAATTTTCAACTCATATTTCATCAACTAGTAATTAATTACGATGAATATTTTCATAGATTATTCATCCCATTGTCTTAATAAACAGCTGAAACTAAAATATTTTAGGAAAATACAAAAATAAATACCTTTCTTTTCGAGAGAAATGATGATGTGAAAAAGGACGTCAGACACGGATGGAGAATTTTTTTACACTAACAATTTTTAACGTTAGGTTCGAACTCCTAGCCTCTGATTGGCTAATTAAAAAAATCCTAATAAATAGGGAAAAAATGAAAATAATATTTAAATTTTCGATATATTTTCACTTTCATGGTTGTTATGATAAAATTTATATGACTATTGTATAATATATTAATAATAATTTGAGTAATTTATTATTTATTTATCACATTTCGTTAAAATTGTTAATCGAAATTTTTAGCAATTTTGTTGGTAACACTAACCTTTGCAACGGCATCTTCGCGCCAAAATTGTAGTAAGGGAAGTAAGCATTGTTGCCAACCTAAAATAAAAAAAAAATTTATACAATTAATAAAATAACAAATTCAAATGTTTAAATTGTAATTTTTAATAATTTCTTTTTAATTATTTTTCAAAACTCAATATATTTTGTACAATAAATAAAAAAATTATCATTATTTTATTATTATTGTAAATTATAACAATAAAATAAAATAGATATCAATTTTAATTCTAAAATATTTGCTCTAATTTTAATTTAATTTCAAATCCAAATTTATATTTTCAATTATTTTTTAAAACTCAATTTATGCAATAATTAAAAAAATTATCTTTAAAACAAAATTTTATTTTTTTCTATGTGTATTTCTGATGCCTTTTCCATTATTTTATTATTATTATAAATTATAATAATAATAAAATATAATAAATATAAATTTGAATGATAAAATATTAGCTTTAATTTTAATTTAATTTCAAAAAGAAATTTATAATTTAGATACATATCAAATTATAAATATGAAATATTTTAGTTTTTATAAATTAGAAAATTATTTATTAAAATTTATTAAATAATTGAAAAACAAATAATTAAATTATTAAATATTCTTAATATTTATAAAGAATTTTTATTTAAATTTCTGAATACTTTTTTTTTGAACAGTTAATAATTAAATATTAATTTTCAAAATAATTTCTCTATTGAGATAGAAAAGTGTATGTTTAAATGAATTTTATGAAAGTTACAGTGGAATGGGAAATTTAAATTAAACGTGAAATTAAAACAGTTTCGCATATACAAATAATTCTATTTAGTTGCTTCTGTAAAAAAAAAAATAAATAAAATAAATTTTCCCTCATAACTGTTGAGTGTAAAGAAAACGGAGTATATTTCAATTAGTAGCTCTTTCCGTAACACCAACATTCCACGGTTATATGAGGGGGATATATGAGGAATATCTACGGAATTCTCGACATTACCCCAGGCATCATTGGCATTCTCTGACAGGTGAAATTTAGTTCTGACAGAGACGTTTTTGAAAAATTGAAATCACAAATGTAGAAACGTTAAAACCAGAAGCTTTTGAAATTTAGATTACTTGTCTTTCAAATTGTCAAAAAAAAAAAAAATTCTAGACTTGGTTAATTTTTACATTTTTTTTTAAATATAACATTTCATAAAATATAAATTAAAAATATTTTTTTAAAATATAAAATATAAATTAGAAATATAATTAAAATGTAATTAAAATATATTTTATAAAATTATTTAAAAAATATTTTTAAATTATTTTTAGCTTCTACATTTTTTATTCATAATTTTCAAAGTATTTGTTGCAAAAAAATATTCAAAATACTGTATAATTGTAGTTTTTTTTTTTTAAATAAAAAAAATATATCTTACTTTTAATTGGAAAATTAGTTTTTTGGACAATTTTTCTGTTATTATTTTCGTTGCGATTGAATACGAAAATACAATATCGCGAATTTCAAAGATTCTCTTCAATTTTACAGTAACTGCCAATCATTGCAGTCAGAAAGCTGACACTCTCTGTAACCCTCGTCTTTGAATATTACTCGGGCTTATCAAGACATCCTTTATTCACAGGAGTCGTCTTCATCTTGAATTTCATATATTAGACATTTGATATTCTCAAAGTTGTGTATTTTTCAAAATTTTCATTTCAAACACAATTTTTTCTATTAAGTCCGAAATAAAAAAGTGATTTTCATTCATTTGGACAATTTTATAATTAGAAAAAAATTAAGAAAATTTTGCTTCTATTCCTGAAAACAAAAATACATTTTTCTTGAATTAAAATTTTTTCTAAAATTAAGAAAATATTTTTTTTTATTTTAAGATTCTGTTCAAAAATTTAATAATTAAACAGTAAAACCAAAATTGCATTTTTTTTAACGTTCAAGCATTTTAACAAATTTGATCATTGAAATTGAATCTGTTTCGAATTTTGTGTGAATCGGTTTAGTCAAAGGTTAAACGCAATGTCAACTAACTTTGCTTTAGATGCAAAAAACTCTGATAGCAAACAAACTCTCGTCAGGAATACCCTTGAAGCTTGAAGCCCACTCTTGATACAAGGGGACTTTAACATCGCTTGGCAAAACACTCTGATCCTAGAATGCTCAGATTTCTAGTTTTCGTCACACTCTTCTCCCTTTTTTTTTTTTTTTTTTGGAAAAATGAGAGACTCCAAGTTTCTTTAGTAAATGGGTCACATTGGACCTTCCTGCAAAAACGAAACAAATTTTATTGAAAGAAACTAAAGAAATAATTATTAAAAAAAAGTATTAATAAAGAAAATAAATTACTTACATAAAAAATTTTATTTTAGAAAAATATATTTTTTTTTGTTTCAGCCAACTTCAATACCGGACCTTCGACCAGTTCACAATTTTCCAAACATCCTAGGACCCTTCACAAATGCAAATGAGCCAAAGAGTACTTCGCAACAAAATAGTCCGAGTAGTAATGAAAGTAACTCGCCAACGGAACTCAATTCCTGTAAAAGATTAACGGACAAACCGCCGTTGATAAAACGACTGGCGATGGGTCTCACTGGCGGTAGAGATTTCATTGGATTTAACGGAGTCGAAGATAGTTGTCCTTTAGTCAACGATAATAGTAGAAATAAATCCCATTCAGGTGGCTACGTTAATGAGGCGATTATCGACTCCGAAGGTTCCAAATCATCATACAATAAATTAGCACCCTCAGAAAGTATCGACAATTCCATAAATGCCTCCATTACGGAAAAGAATTTCTGCACTGAAAACGAAAGGTGAAAAAAAAATTTTGAAAATTTTTTAATTTTTAATCAAATTATAAATAAGACAAATTTATAAATCTTAACATTAAAATTGTTATTTGAAAGAATTTTTTTTTTTCACTTTTTTTTGTATGCAACTAAGAAGAGATCTTAACGACTAGCTCGTAAATTTGAATTTTGATTTAATTACTAAACTTTTTAATTACCATGGAATTCTTGGCGGTGAAGCGTGTCTTCATAAACAAGGTTGAAGTTTTTATTTCATTGGAGATGAAGTGCCCTTTATTGACTAGCTCAATACGCTATGGGTTCGCGATATGTTTCATCGAAAAAAAAAAAAAAGAAAAAAAAAAAATGCAATTTATCTTCATGATCCACGGCTGATTGAACCACTCTTATAAATCTTGCTTCTGACCCTTGCGTCTTCCATTACTTGCAACCTCTACGTGGCTAGTCATACTTCAATAACGATGGAGAAAAAAATGTCACCACGATGCTAAATTATCCACTCCCAACTTATTTCGTCCCCTGTAGACAAAAAGAAAAAAATTTCATTAAACAGTTATTACGATTTCCAAGTGAATTTCATACATTTTTTGTTTTATATATAATGGCATCGTTAAATTTTTAATTAACTATCATTAAATTTTTAATAAAATTTATTATTGAAAAAAAAATTATTAAATTATTAAATAAATTTATTAAATTAAATAGCTATTAAAAGTTTCGAATTGTTTGATTTTAAAATTATTTACTATGAAATTTTTAATTTAGAAAATTATGTTTAATCATTTTAGAGTGGAACCCAGTTCACCTGGTTCGGAGACAGAAACGGAGTTACGATTAAAGAAAAATAAGTCACAATTAACTCCAAGTGTTTGTGGTCCTGTGGATGGAATTTTGCACAGAGTTACCTCAACACCACCTCCACTTCCTGAAAGAACCGATAGTCTTAATAATCGAAGTGAAGAGAGTGAATTGAGGAAAGCCCCTTGGTTTCAAGCGGGAATCCCTAGGTGATTATTTTTCAAAATTTTCAATTATTTTCTATTTTTAATAGAAAAAAAAATTTTTTTATTTATATTTTATTAGAAAAATTAAAAAATTAATTCTTTCTACCTATTTCAAAAGTAAATAATTTTCTGAAAAAAAAATTAGAGGAATTAATGTCTAACTGTAAATTTCTATAGTAATTAATTTTGAACAAGAAGTGGAATTATAATAATAGTGTAGAATTTTTTTTTTTTCGGGGTGGAGGAGTAGAAATGCTTTTGTAATTTAATGACTTCTCTTTATGATATAGGGAAATAACACTGGAGGTGTTGAACCAAGAGCCGGAAGGAGCATTCATGGTTCGTGAAAGCACGAGTAAACCCGGGTGTTTTGCCCTTTCCCTTCGTGTTCCACGGGAATTTCAACCAAGCGGTATAGCTCATTATCTCATTTTACGTACGAACAAAGGCTACAAAATCAAAGTGAGTTGATTCCATTAATTTTAACAAACACACCTTTCATTTTATTTCAAAACCCTTTTATTATTCCATTACTCTTTTATTAACGCATCATTAACTATTTACAAACCAATAATAATAAATATTATTTTTTTTTTTGGTTTTGAAAAAATTATTATTTAAATTACTTGGGGTTTTTTTTGTAATTTTGAAAATGAAAATTAAATTCATTTAGAGGAAATAAATTGTAAATGTAATTAGAAAACTGCAATTAAAAAAAAAAAATGAAAATAATTTTCTTTTGACTTTTGTTATAAATTTTTCAGTTACTTTAGTTTTTTTTGTAATTTTGTAATTGAAAATTAAATTAATATTAGAATCAAGAAATAAATTGTAAATGTAATTAGAAAACTGTAATTAAAAAATAAAAATGAAAATAATTTTCTTTTGACTTTTGTAATAAATTTTTCGGTTATTCTGCGTTTTTTGTAATTTTGTAATTGAAAATTAAATTAATATTTGAATTAATAAATAAATTGTAAATGTAATTAGAAAACTATAACCAAGAATTAAAAATAAGAATAATTTTCTTTTATGGCTGGTAATAAGTTTTTCGGTTATTTTTCTTTTTTGTAATTTTGCAATTGAAAATTAAATTAATATTAAAATCAAGAAATAAATTGTAAATGTAATTAGAAAACTGTAATTAAAAAACAAAAATGAAAATGATTTTCTTTTACGATTTTTGTAATAAATAAAATAAATAATAATAAAATATCTCCAGGAGAAATGTAATAAAAATTTTTTAAAAAATATTTTCAATTAATAAAATAGAAAAATAATTAATAAATTAAAATTACCCTTAATAATCCTGTAGTTTTAATAAATATTTGTTTCTAAACAACAATTTTTATTAAAATTATGTTTTAATCAAATTTCAGGGTTTCAAGAAGGAATTCTCGTCACTGCCAGCCCTAATCACGCATCATTCTGTCATGCCGGAACTTTTGCCATGTCCCTTATCCCTAAGTCGTTACAATCCAAATTTAGCGAATAGTAGCTCGAATAAAGACTTTGCCGATATTGATTTAGATCCAGATTATAATTCCCTTGCAGATTTTCGTAAGACAATGGCCAATCTAAGCGTTTAATGTTCCTTTAAAAATTTTGGCATAATAAACAAAATTCAGTGAAAAATGTTCTTCAAATTTTCTCGAATTTTTTTTTTTAGTTTATTTCTTTTGTGTCTTCTTCTGTGCTCATTGAAATATTCTGCAAAAAAAATTTTAAGTAAATTACAATTCAATAAAACTGTAAATACAAAGCTTTTTCAATGAAAATTAAAATAGAAAAATATTTGAAGAAAAAAAATTGAGAAAATAATTTTCTTTTTTTTTTTTTTCAACGAGAAAAATTGACATTATTTCACTGTTTTGGAATTTCCCTTGCAGTTTACATTTTAAAAGAAACAACGAGTGAATAAATAAATGTTTCAAAGAAATGAAACTGCGTTAGATTTAGCAATCTCGAAGCATTTAAACCTTCTTAAGTACCTACTGTAAACAGCGCGATCTTATAAAAACGTCATCGCTTCACGAAGAGCTCTCTATTTAAGCTTAACGAATTGCATTACTATCACTAAAACACCAGCATCTTGACAACTTTCATTTTCAAAAGAGTAAAAGATATATTGTGTCTTAAATTCTGCAAAGTCATTTCGCTTATTTATTTTTATATTTAAAAATATCACTCGTTTCGCAGACTTCGTGGAAAAAAAGACACATTATTTTACCTCTTTTTTTATATTTAACAAAAAAAAGACAAGTGAATGAAAAAAAAAACATATATTTTTTTAAATTAAAAATGTTTTATTGTTAAAAATTTATTATTTGTTAAATATTTAAGGCATCTGAATTATTTCCAATTTTTGTTGAATTTAAAAAAAAAAAAATTTGAATCAATTCAAAGCCTCTATTTTAATTATTAGAAATTAAAAAAATTCATTGACTCATCTTTTTTTTTTCTCAAAAATTCATTGAAAAGTTGCTCTTGATATACAAATTTTCTCAAGCTTTATGAGACTCTGTACTTGAAAATTGAATGTTACGACTAGAAAGAAAGAGAGAATAAATATGTGCAATATGTGAAAAAAAAAAAAAAACATTTTCTATGAAGCGATAAAAATTTATAATTCTGACAATTGAAATTGTAGTCTAGTCTTTGTAACTCGTGTTAATAAATATATCACGAGATTGAATCAAAATTGTATAGTGTTGCGATTAGTGTTATTAATGGAAAAAGAAAATCGATTAAATTAGAAAGAAAAAAGAAATATTTAAACTTTTTTTTATATTGGCTTTAGATAAACGTTAAAAAGAAATTTAATTTAGCCAAAAAAACCTAATATGAAAATTTTTCGATTTAATTTAATAAAAAAAAAAAAAAAAAATGTTAATGGCTAATTGCCAAAGAATTGTCGATTCATCTCTTTTAATGTTATTTGTAAATCTATTATGAAAGTGATAAAAATTACCTGAATCTATTTTATCTTTTGATCGACGTTTTAAACGCCTTTTTTTGTTAACTAAATATTTTAATTTTCTTCTCGAAATAAATTGTTATTAACTGAAAGTTTAAAAAAATGTTTGTTAATTGCAAATAAATAATTGAAGAGCAAAAAAAAAAAAGAATTTAGTTAATTTAATTTTGAATTCAATTAACTAGTTAAATGATTTGCAAAGTTTGATGTTTTGTTCTTGTTAATTGCAAATTAGAGAAAATAATTTAGATTTGCCTGTATGTGGTGGAGTTTAAACGTCAGATGAGTGTATTTATTGTTTTCGAGACGAAATTGAAAATAAGCCCAAACACAAGTTTAGCCTTTGCAATGGAATATAATTTGCTTATAAAATTGTAATCGAGCTACTTTTTATGGTGTTTGCAAGTAGGTTTCCTTTTGAAATTTTGTGCGCGTACTTCTGATCTATTATGCTACACATTGTCTGGAAATAAAAGAAATGAGAGAAAGCGAGAGAGAGAGAGAGAGAAGAGACAGTGATTAATTAAAATTTTAATCACGTCTTTAAATATTGTAAAGTTACATTTTAGTATTAATTATTGTTTGTTAAATATTTATTGGGAAATAAAGAATTTCGTGATACCTGAAATTTTCATTGAACCCAAATTTTCTGATATAATTTTTCGACTCCCTTATTCATCATCATTTAAATAGAAGTATAATTTTGTAATTTAATATTTATTATTATAAACAATTATCGAAATTAAAATTCGAATAACAGAAAAATTCATTTGCTAAATTATTTTTATGTCTAGGTAAGAATTCACATTTTTTAACGTCGAGTAATTTTTCAACGAGTTCTTTCATAATTGCACCTGTAAAAAAATAATAAATATACAAAATTTAAAATAATTTTAAAAAAAGGAAATTTTTATTTATAATTTTATTACCTGTGCAGATTATAATTTTTTCTTTTGCTAACGATTTTATTGTTGATGCAGTTTTTGTTAAACATTCATCAGATAAAAAAGGTGGATCTGCTATTACTAAATCGTAATTTTCCTTTAATTCTGAAGGAAAATTTAAGGGATTGTTGTAATCATAATTGACAAAATCTGAACCAAATGCGCTAAAACGTTCGTCAAATTCAAAAATTGTCACTGAAATAAAAAAAAAATAATTAATAATTAATTCTATCGTATATTTATATTTTATTAATATGAAAAATCTTACCTTCTCTATTACCAGAAACTTTTTTAATACTTTTATATAAAGTTGGACACGAGATTAAAGCAATTTTTCCATTATCTTGTGTACAATTTATTGCTCCTTTTGTTAATTTATCAGTTGTTTCATCGTCATACCAAAATTGACTCAATTGCTGTAGTAAATTAATTATAATTAAAAAATGTTTCTTTAATTCTAATTGTTCAAAAATATACATTTTTTTGCTTACAAAATTAACTTTTTGCATTACTACATCAAAAGTTTGTTTGAATCAAATTTTTAAAAATAATCATTCCAGTTGAATGTTAGTGTATTATCAACTTATTTATTTAGAAAAAGAAGAAGTAAACATGTATTTTACATTTTTTACTTTAGAATAGAATTAAATTTTGGAAATATTTATAATTACCCAATTTTCATCAAACAAAACTTCGTTGCTCATTGAACATTTTTGTAATTTTTCTCTCTCTTCTCTTTCCGAGTAAAATTCTTGAAGAGCTGCTAGTGTTGAAGGACATAAACTAATCTCCTCATCATCATCAATTACATTTAAATCATTCATTGTATAAAAATAAATTAATATCTAAAAATTTAAACGATTTAAACAAAATTAAACAATCACAAACATTTTTAAAAGTGAGGTTAGATTGTCACGTGTGAACGACAACGAATCGAGAAAATCGAGAATAATCGAAAGTCAGGGTTGGGAAACAAAATATGCGCGCCCTCGTGTTGATTGTGTGAACTATATTTCTTTTTTGAAAACAGAAGTTTCCTGTCTTGGTTTAATTTATTCATTGATATAAAAAGTGAAGGCAATTTTGTGTTCGTGTGTATTCATGTGTAATGTAATATTGTGATATTGCAAAATGGCTGCTAGAATTTGTTCAACGGAAGTTGAATTTGCTTAGGTGTACTAGAAAATACTTTTAATTGAATTTTTTCATGGGTGAGGAGGTAAGTTTCACGATAATCCTCCCTTTTTTAGTATTTAAAAATTTATAATAAAGGTTAGGAGTTTGATAATAATATTGAAAAATGTATTTTTACACGCCGGGCTTTTTTGGGTGATATTATGTTTCATCTTTTCTTCTATTTAGGAATCGAAACTTTCAATATTGTCTTTACTGTGTGTGATATTCTTGTTTATTGGTAAATTTTGTGTTATTCAATTTTTTGTATAATCATTTCCATTTGAACAGAATGAAATTGAAAACACATTTTAGTATAGCCATTTTTAAAATGAAATCGATCAAACCTTATCCTGTGCTTCTACTCTTCCTCTATCCATCGAAAAGTTTCGAAAAAAACTTAAACGAAAAAAAAAAAAATCTTTTTCAAGTTAAATCTTTACCTAGCAATATTTTTTAAAAAGTTTTGTCTATAAAAATAATTTTTCATTTTAAATATTAACAATTTGATTCATTAATTTGTAAAATAGTTTTAATATATATAGTTTTTTTTTGTCATAATTCGATATTATTTTGTTTTGTCGTTTCTATTATCGGTAAATAATAATTAAAACTATGGTGTAAAAATGCAAAGTTAAATTCTTAACTTTGCACCAAGCGAATGTAAGTTTTGTTTTTGTGACATTAGTGTTTTTTGCGGAGACTGACATTATTTAAATAACTACGTTCAATTGAGTGGTAAGTAGCTGGAGAAATGTGGTTTATTTCCAGCCGTCTTTTTAAGGTACAATTTGTATCTTGTTTCATTTCTTTCTCTAATTAAAAAAAAAAAAAAAAAAAAAAAAAAAAAAAATATTTCAAACATTTAGAAATATTTAAATACTAATGATGTAATACAATATTGTTTTCTCATAGAGAAAACTTAAGTTTAGTTTTCTAATAAAAACATATCAAGTTAAAAGAACATTGTTCCAAGATGTTAGTGATTTTGTTTGATTTTTGTGGTTAGAAATATCCTTAAATAATTAGTAAAATTTACAGTGTTGTAAATTTTAAAGATTACATAATTTTTTTTTTCTAATTTTCTGTTTTATGAAATGGTAAGTAAGTAGAAACTTGTGGTTAAGTCCGTTATCAGCGTTTTTTTTTAAAAAAAAAAAAGAATCCCGAGTCGAATAATTAATTTCTTTTTTCTGGAAACTTACCTGAATTGTATTTTTTTACAGATTAGATTGTGAGAGAATTAAGGATTCAAAATGCAGAACTTTGATGATCTTGATATTGAGGGAAGAAATCCTAGCCATCAGTCTGAAGAAGAAAGAGAAAAGGTAAAACAAGACAATAAATTTTGTTTTAATATTATATTTTTTCTAAAAAAAGTCTTTCAATTTTAAATTTGATTAGAAAAAAAAAAAATTTTTTTTAAAATAATTTTTCACGAGTCTACAAAAATATTTACCTGAATTTTCTCGAAATTTTACTAAACTTTGTATTAATTAATTTTCATTTTTTTTTTTAATTAGTGCCTAATTAGATAATTAATTTTTTATAAATCTTTACTTACTTGCAGGTGAATTTTTTCTTCGCTCTCTTTTCAGCAAACATTTTTTTTTTTTTTTTAAATTAACTTTTATTTAATCGATTAAATTATCCATGTATGATATATAAAAAAATTTTGAGAATATTTGTTATTGATAATTTTTTCAAAATACAAATTTTACCTTTTCTCAATTATTGATAATTACGGAGAGAGAAAAAAACGTGTCAGTGTATTTTTTTTTAAAAAAAAAAGTGAAATATTGAATTTTAATTTCTATGTTGTGAATATAAGTGGAATAAAAAAAATTTTCCGGATGACAACAATAGTTTTCACCACTTTGCAGTAAGTTTATTTGAAAATAATGACTTTCAATTGGCATTATTTTCTACTCGAATTAGGGTAAAGATTCAAATTTTTTTAATTTTTTATGTAAGAGGAAAATTTATCCCAAAAAGAAATAAAAGTTTAAAAAAGCTGACAGGTTTTAATTTACTGAATGTTACTATTTTTTAATTTTCAAATTTTCTACTTTTATTGTAAAACGTATTAACGGAGATAAATTTTGATTTTCTTTTTGAAAATAAAAATTTTTAATTGTTTTCCTCTTTTTTTTTTCTACAGGAGGAACATGATCGAAAGCGACTAATGAGAACGAGTGTGACGGCCGAGGATGGAACTTTAAGACCAGTTTATTCGGAAACAGAAGACGGTGATATTTGGTGTCATATTTGTAATGTAGCTCTATTTGGAGCTCACAAATTACTCAGTCATAATATTTGCAATCGTCATAAAATCAAATTAGACGAATGGCCATATCCTGTTTTATTATGGTCGAAAAAATCTGATACAGTGAGTAAAAATGTGGTTAAACCTAATCCATCATCATTAGCGTCTGGTGAGCCATTACCGCCAGGAATGGAGGATCAAATTGTCAGGAACACAAGTATTCAGGTCAGTTTGGATCGTCATCGTAGTTCGCCTCTTGTTGGTTTAGAATATCTACTTGAATTGGTAGATAACGACAGTTGTGAGCCAAGTTACACATGTGTTTTGTGCGATAAACGAGGAGATCCAAGAACAGTGATGGCCCATATCACAAGTTACAATCATCGAATGGCGTATTTGAATAGACATTTTCCTACAATTTCGCGGGCAATCATGGAATTGCCTCGTACCCCGAACTATAAACGCGGAGCGAATGAGATTTTGGTGTTAGTTGCAAAAAAAATTGAAGAACAATTGGGTAGATTGCAACCGCAATTGGTGGACAAAGGTCAATTTGAAAAGAACAAAATGCAGTTTATTAAAAAAGTCTATCAGGATTATCACTTTAGGTAAGTTTAACTCAATTTAAAAAAAAAAAAATAATAATTTATTTTACATGCGATTTGATTTATATACGGTAATATTTTATTTATCGTTGGTCGTTTCACGTGCAGAGAAACGCCCGAGTTTACGTTAATGGAAATTTACGATGTGCGATGGGTGACGAATTTTGAAGAGAAGATGGCAGAAGTTTTGAATGAAGCAAAAAAAGGTGAGTATTATTTGAATTTGAAATAATTAATTTTTCTTATTTAGTGAGTGTTGTGTGAAATATTTGTTTTTTTTTTTTGTCCCCCTAAAAGAAGAAGCAACAATTGAAGATAATGTAGAACAGGAGAAATTAAAGGAAATGGAAAAAGAAAAAGAATTGGAGAGGGAAAGAGAAAAGGAAAAGGAGAAAGAGAAAGAAAAACTCAAGGACAAGGAGAAGGAGAGAGAAAAAAGAAGAGAAAGCTACAGGGATGGAAAGGAGAGAGATTCTAAAAAACGGGAATCAAGGTCTGACTACAAGGATACAAAGTAATATAGTTTCTTTTCTAGTTTAATATTTATGTAAATTTTGTTCAAGGCTCGATAATATTTTCTTCTTTTATTCTAGGAATTACAAAATTCGGATTTTGACCAAGGACAAATTAAATAAAAGATCGGAGAAATCGCCACTTAAAGATAAATCGAATAAGCCAGACGATTTAAAATCTCTATCATCGTTGTCGAGTATTTCGAGTAGTCCATCGCCAGTTCGTTCGAGATCTCGTGAACGTAGTCGCGGTAGAACAAATCAATTAGACAAAGGTTATAATAAATCTCGTCGCGGTAATCGACGTCGATCGCGTTCACGTTCCGTGGAATTAGTTCGAGAGCGCGATAAATGGGACAAGTACAAAGAGCAAATTCGCCGTGCCGAAGAGACACTTGAGAGAGCATTGAAATTTCATGAGAAAAATCCTGAGAAACATCCCGCCTATCCTGATGAGTGGAAGAAATTTTGGAATCGTAGATACAAAGAACTTCAATCAGAGGGTAAAGATCCAAGTAAACATGACTTTAAACCAGAATGGATTGAATTTTGGAATAAAAGAATGCGAGAACTTCACAATGAGCAGGTAAATCAGCGCAAGGAGGAAATTCGTAAGAGACTCGAACTTCCAGAAGAAAAACCACCAGCGGAGAAAGTCACTGTGTCGAGGAAAAAGGAAAGATCACCGAGTCCTAAGCGACGACATCAAGAAAGTGATGATGAAGTCGAATATGTGGGGACAATGAAAATCAGACCCGATTTTCATGATCGTTACGATATTCTCAGGGAGAGGGAGAGAGAACGAGAGCGTGAACGCGAGAGAGAAAGAGAACGTGAAAGGGATCGTGAACGTGAAAAAGATCGCGAGAGAGAAAGAGAACGCGTAAGAGAAAGGGATTTGGACAGAGATCGAGATTACTATCTCCCTTATTCGCGAGGCCGCGGTTATCGTCCACCAGCAATTCCACCTTACTATGGACCACCTAGAATCGCAACCACCAGACCCAGATATCATTCCACTCCTTATCCACCTGAAAAATCTCCCAGTCCCGTCAAAGAGGAAATTCTCAGTGAAGATCTCGAAATTGTTGGACTTCTACGTCTTCTCACGGCTCTTGAGGGTCAATTAGGTTCCCTAGGTCCGAAAATTGTTTCCCTTCTTTCAAAAGCATTGGCTGCGGAAAAATCGAAACCAAACTCCGCCGAAGAATTACTCTACGATGAAGAAGTGAGCGTAATGTTTGAAACTGTCAAAGAAAAATTAAAAGGTCAATTATTCGCGGGAATGATCGAGAAAATGGCAATTGCACCAACTAAAACAGCAATTCAAAATATCGCTCAACTTTTGCACAAGGCAACTGAGAACAAGAAAAAAATGGAAGAGGAAAAGAAGAAACAAAAAGAACTCCTGGAACTCTCAAAATCAATGAATGTTTTTAATAGAACATATCCACGACTAACAGATATTCAAACAAAATCAGAACCCATGAGTGTTCCCGGAGTTGGTGCTATTGACAAAGTTGCAATTGCGCAACAAATCGCCGCAGCATTAGTCGCTCAAGGTAGATCAAACGTCTCACAAGAAGAACTCGAAACATTAATCAATGCCGTTGTTGGAATGGCTGAAGCTTCAAAACAAAGCAATAAAACCGTAACCACCGCCGATTTTGTCAAAGGTTTAACAGCTACCGATTCACCTGTCCAAGAATCACCTCCACCACCACCACCACCACGTGCTCCCAGTCCTATTCCAATCAAGAAACCCGTTGAAAAAACCGTTGAGTCACAAGCAAAAAAAATGGAAAGTTTATCAGACGAGGATCTTAAAGCTTTATTGCAAAATTTCAAAGAATTAGGAACTGAGGAACAACATGGTCTTATTAGCTTTCTAAAAAAACTCGAAGCCACTGATCTCGCTCGAGTTGAAAAACTTCGAGCCTATGTGAATCTTGGAGCACCAACAAAACCAAAAGAAAAAAGTCTCACACCAGATGTTGAAACAAAAACTCGTCGTAGCATTTCACCATTTTCAACACGTAAAGGAAATCAAAATCCAACTGACGATGAAAATAAATGGAAACCAAAATTGGATATGTTTGCCGCTGATGAGGAAACAAAAAATGATGAGAAGAAAAAACTTGAATTCTCCGATGATGATGACGATGATTATACATTTGAGGATATTTATAAAGCAGCTGACAAAAATGTTAATGAAAATCAAAAAGCAAAGGACTCAAGATCACGATCAAATTCACCGAGATCGTGGTCAAATCCAAGATCAAGATCAAGATCAAGAACGCCTATTAAAGTGAAAGAATCAATTAAAACAAGTGATCCAAATGCAATTTTAAATGAAACAAAACGATTAATTGCAAATATTATGGGCGATTTACCGAATAAATATACATCGCATATGTCATCAAATAATGATGGACAACAATCATCACATTCAAATATTGGAAAAAATGATGACGGTCCTTATAAACAAAATTATGGACGTAATTTGTCACAAGTTAATTCAATGAGCGGTCCTCCACCTATTAATAATCCACCGAGTAATTATCCTCCAATGAATCAATTTTCAAATTATCCACCACAATCATCGATGTTTAATTCAAATCAAGGTTATATGAATAATGGTTATAGTAATTATAATCAAGGTTTTCCTCCAAATCCGAGCCAATTCGGTGGTGGTGGTGGAGGCGGCGGTGGAGGTGGTGGTGGTGGTCCCCCTAGTCAGTATTCGCAACCTCCCTATGGACAAAATCAATTTTCCGGACCACCTGGAATAGGACCACCACCAGGTTATCCTCCTCAACAATTTAACAATTATCCACAGCAACAGCGATTTTATTAATTTTTCAGTGACATTATTACAAAGGGGGCTGTGAATTTGGAGAATTTCGCAAATTGACATAAAAATATGTGAGTACATTTCGGTTTTCTAATAACTTGTAATTTTTCTTATTTTTAATGGTTACAAACAAATTTTTTTAATTTGTAACCTTTTTAAAATTAAATCTACAAGTTATTTTTATCCATCGTGATTTGTAAGATTCTTATAATTTTTTTTTTCAAAATTATCAAAAATATTTAAAATGAAATTTGTAGGAAGAAAATTGAAATTTTTTTTTTTTTTGAAGATGTTGCATGTATTCGGAAAAATTAGAAAATTATGTTTAAAGTAATTTGAAATATTTTTTTGTAGTTATATTATTAATATTTTTATACTTAAATTGTATGAGACAAAAATTTTCAAATCTTATTTCAGAATTGTGAATGAAATTAAAAGCAAAAAAAAAAAAAAAAGAAATTATCAATATAATTATGCTAATGGCATTGTAGTTATTATATTATAACTAGTTTTATGTTATTTAAAAAAAAATTACACGTTTTGAACTTTAATTGGATCAATTCAATTTTTGTATAATTTTTCTGTTAAATTATTTGCGACATTTTCTATTTTTGCGAAAATCAATCTTTTCTCACGAATTAAAATTTGATTTCTGTCTCTTTTTTTTGTTATTTAACACCTCCCTTACAATAAAGAAATGTATAAGAATTGAGAAGAAAAACAAAAAAAAAAAAAAATAATTACAAACTTTTACACTAATTTTAAGAGTGGATTTTACACATTTTCACTTATGAACGATTGTATGAAAGAATGTGATTTCTTTAAGCGACTTAGAATGTAAGTCTTTTTTTTTTTTCTTAATTTTACGAAAATTATAATTGTGTAACTTTTTCGTTTTTTATTTAGTCAAAAAAGTATCCTTCAAATGATTATAAAAAAAAAAAAAAAAAAATTGTAAACGTTCTATTTTCACATAATTATTGTTTCAGATTTGAAATGTAATTAGAATTATTTAGTGTGTATAAATAAATTAATAAATATAAATAAAACAATGAGAATCGGATCATTATGAAAAATATTCAATTATATTAAATTCTGCAATTTTTTTTTTTGGTATTTTCTCTTAGTTTTTTCATTCTAAAAATAAAATTTATATTTTAAAAAATATATCAATATATAATTAGATTTAATTAAAAAAAAATTCATTTTCAACATAATAAAAAAAAGTGTAATGTTAAAACATAAATTTATTTATTAAACGATATTTAATTTGAAATTCATACTTTAAAAATGACATTTTTACAATATTGCGTCTACTTTTAAAAAAAAGCACAATAGATAATAATATTTAGATTACAATTTGATTTCTCATTTTGTGTGCCATTAATTTTCTTTAATATATTAAAGTCGAGCTTATAACAATTTATAGCGTTTTTTAAATAATAAAAATATCTAGCAATCGACAAAAATATTTGTTCAAAAAAAAAATTAAATCATACGTTTATTTAAGAAAAATTCTCAAAATTCAATTAATAAAAAAAATAATTAAATTTTTTTTACATAGTGATTTGAAAGACTTTGTTTTTGAAAATAATATTAAATTATTAATTTTTATTTTCAAAAATGCTGTTATTTTTTTTGCTTTCAATTTAATCGAATTTTATTTTCGTTGAAGGATTCAAGTTAATTGCTTTAAATATTTTATTGCTGTGATCAATGTATAGGTTACATTTATTTGATTAAAATTTACATTAGAAAAAATTTTCAAACATAACGATTAATTTATCTTACTACATCAATTTTTTGTATATAATTTTTAATTTTAAAGCAGTAAAATATGAAAATTAAATATAATGAGTCTTTCACAACCACTGTGCTTATAATTTTGTGGTCGAATTAACTAAATTGATAAATCCAGAAAAAAAAATGCTTTTTTTTCATGAAAGTAAAATATCTACTTAGTTTATTTCAACATTTACGTTTTTTTTTTGCGGTATTTGACACCAAACATCTAAGCATGTTGACTAGAAAGTTAACGTTTTCAGTCTAAATAATCATTCATCGCGTTTATCACAAAAAAAAAAATGGAAACTTGTCTAAAATGAAAAAATTCATGTCTATTCATTATTTACAAAAGAGTTTCGTTTCTTAGTGAGAGAAGTGTGGCAAAGTACTGTGCTAACTATTTGGGTACTAATCCTCTAGTCTTTGGATAAATTTGAGCTGACATTTGTTGATAAACTGGCGTCGGAATTTGTTGCATTTTACCAACGCTCTTAGGCCGAATTCGTGATGCCGATTGTAGACGTGATTTTGATCTTAATTTAACATTCGATGCGTCAACATCAATGTCACCTTCATCGCGTAATGCTTCTTCTAAAACAGCTTGAATTGTTGGAGCAATTGCTGGTCCTTGATAATCCAATGTTGTTCTTGCAGGCATATCGAGTTCTAAATTCAAAATATTTTCCCCAGCGTAACGATGTCCACGTCCCATTGCCAGAGCAAGTTTCGCTTGTTCAGTGACGGGTCGCCTACCGCCAGGAATCGAAATTGGACGTTTAATTAATTCAACACTCGATGGTTCTGGATCTTTTAAAACCCAACAATCCTCATCCTCGTCAAAACGAACTCTTGACAAAATTTTATGTTTCTCTTCAACTGGAATAAAATTATCAATCACAAGATATTTGAGTTTCAATTCCTTCATTAATTCATGTTGCGTTTGCTCAAGATCACGTCTATCTCGATTATATTCATTTGTCACATCATCGAGATCCTGTTTCAAACCTTGTAATTTAGCAAAACATTTTCTCAATTTTCGTGATTTAACATCAACTTCCTGTTGAAGAGTTGTGTACGTTTCTTTAACACCCATTGTCGTCAATTCCTCATCCTCGAGTTTTTGTTGCATTTCAACTTCACGTTTCTTTCGCTCTGCAATTTCAACAGCACGTTGCTCCAAAGCTCTCTGTTGTTCATTTGTATGATCAATAATATTCTTTCCACCACACAGCATTTTACTCTCGAGATCCTTAATTCTCAATACCAAATTCTCCGTCTCTTGTTTCTCCGCCTTCAATTGTTCCGATATTTGTTTCTTATCAGCTTCCTTATTATCATCCCTACTGTCCTCAGTCTCTGATTCAGAATCAATAACATCCTCTCTTTTTTTCCTCGATATTTTCTTCTTTTTTCGCTGAACCACAGTTCCCTTTTGAGCAAGCTTCTCCTTCAATCGACTAATCTCCTCCTGATATTGTCTCAATAATGCATCCTTTGCATCCTCATTTATTCGCGGTTTATTCTTAATATTCTTCGCTCGATTCGCATAACGTAATGTAGTTAACGTCTCATCGTAATTATAACTCGCCGGTCCAATATTCGCAACCATTATTGTTTTCGAATTACCACCCAATGAATCCTGAAGCAATCGTGTCAATTTTGAATCTCTATAGGGCACATGCGTTGTTTTTCCATCGACAAGCGCCGAAATTACATTTCCCAATGCCGATAAACTTAAATTTATTTTACTCGCCTCCTTTAATCTCTCGCCAGATGATCCAGTTTTACTTTGTCTTTCACTCCCCGCCAAATCAACAAGATTCAATCGTCCCACACGAATTCCACCATTATCGGCCAATGAACCCATTTCAATTGTTATCATAAAAATAGCATGCGATCTCGAACTATGTTCATTCATATTTGTCGCACCAATTGTCCTATTTTGATTGCCCGTATTCATTAAATATTGAATTTCCGCTGCACTCTTGCAAACAGCCGACGAGAGATCTTTAACAAAAATTCCCGTATCCGGTCGCTCTTTTAATTCAAATCTCAAACTTTGATCGGCGTGTAATAAATCACGAATTTCCTCTTGATAAATCTCTAAATAACTTGCTCTCACTAAATATTGCATATTTTCAGAACGGCTAATATGACTGAAAATATGTTCAAACGAACGTGGTATTATACCACGTTTTTTTATCTCCAATTTTGAACCCTCCATTGTATAGGTTTTACCAGTGCCAGTTTGTCCATAGGCAAATATTGTTCCATTAAAACCATCGAGAACTGACGATACCAATGGTCTCACTGTTTCCTCATAAAGATCCTGTTGACTTGATTGTCCATCGTAAACTGCATCGAATGTAAAAACTTTGACATTATCACGTGATGGATCTTCACGTGGATTACGTATTTCAACAACACCACGTGATGGTACAACATCGACAACACGTGAAAAACCACGATTACTTTCTTTTTCATCCATTGGACGACAACGAACAACAACTTGAACGCATTGGGTACCACCATCGGATGATATCAACGATCTTGATACTCTTTTTTTCGAGATTTTCAACTGATTGTCACTTTTCTCCATTGTTGACACGTTATTTTCCTAGAAAAAATATTTTAATATTATTAAGATAAATATTTTATGATTTTAATTTTTATTTTAGAATTTTGTGAATTTTAAATTTTACAAATTATCAAAATTGACGTAAAGAAAAAAAAAATATTGATTTTTCTTAGTAAATATTGATAGTAAGTTACTTTCTTTTTTTCATAAGTTTAAACAATAAATTATTATTTACTCAAATTATAGAGAAAAATTCAAATCAATATAAAGGAGAAAAATATTGTAAAGTAATATAAAATAGCAAATTAAATTCATAAAATGAAATTTTATGTGTCTATTTCTAGAAAAAAAAATTTCCAATATTTACAGGTTTTTCAGAATTTCTAATTTTTTTTCCAGGTTTTCAGATTAGATTAATTTGCTTAATTTTATTTATTTTTTTTGTTTAAAGATCAAATTAACTTTTTTTTAGTAATCAGACCTCGGATTATACGATTTTTTCGACTTATTTTAATGAAATGCGACTTTTTTGACTTTTTTTTAAAAATATTTTAGCAACATTTTTAAACAAAATACGTGTTTTTTTAGTATACAATGCAGATCTTCTGTATTTCAATTATTTAACAAATTTTTCACTAAATTAATTATTTTTAATAATTTCAATGAAACTCATAATTATTTATGTAGAATATAAATGAACATAAAATTTATTATTATTATTATTTATTATTTATTTTTATTATTATTTATTTATTTATTCAATTATCTTACAATTATTTTTCAATTAAAATTTTTATGAAATTTTTATAATTATTTATAATTTAAAAAAAAACAAATAAGCAAATAAAAATACAAAAAAAAAATTTTAATTCAAAATCACTTGAAATTTAATTATTTGCAAAAATGTCAATTATTTTTAATAATTTTTATAATATTCTTCGAAAATTCAATTATCTGAAAGCATTTTTTAATTAAAAACTTTTGGAATTCAATTTTTGTATGTGATTTTAAATAAATTCTTCATCAACAGAAATCACTAAAAATGATTATAAATAAATATTTAAATTTTAATACAATCTTTTGAAATTCAATTATTTTCAAAAATTTCAATTTAAAAGCTTTTAAAATTTAATTATTTCTACAATTTTTTGAAATTTAATAATTTCAATTATAATTCTCCAGAAATTTCAATTATTTTTAATATTATTTTTATAATATTCTTCGAAAATTGAACTTTCTGAAAGCATTTTTCAATTAAAAACTTTTGGAATTCAATGTTTGTATGTGATTTCTAATAAATTGAAGAAAAAAAATTTTTAAGTAACAGAAATCATGGAAAATTTTAAATTATAAATCTTTAAAAATTCAATTACTTTTAAAAAATATTATATCTAAAATTATTTAATAAATTATTTTTATTTTTGTAAAATTTAATTATTGTCTAAAAATTAATAAAATCTTTTGAAATTCAATTACTTTTAAAAATTTCATCTTAACTCTTCCAAAATTATCATTATAATATCGGAAGCCTTATAATATTCTGAAATATTCGAAATAAATTTTCTTGATAATATTCTTATAGAATTATTCTCATTACAGAATTAATAAAATGAATTTAATATCTAAATAAACTTAGTTATTTAAAATAAAATATTTATTAACCAATTAAATTTTGTTAAAATAAAAATAATTTACTTTTTTTTCGAATATGACTAAAACGAATTTTTTTTATGCCTTAAAATCGATCCGAGGCCTGAGTAATATTTATAAATAAATTAATTTGTAATTATTGTTTCAGTAAAAATAATGAAAGTAAAGTAAATACATAAATTTTGCTAAATTCTAAAATAATGTAATTTGTAATACAAAATTTTAAACATAGAAAATAATATTAGTAGTGAAAATAAAAAATTAAATTTAAAAATAAAAAATTAAACAAAATTACGATCTTCAATAGAAAATAATTATTTTTTAAAATAACGAATATAAAATTAATTTGAAATATTATACATTGTAATTAAATAAATTATAATACTACTTTTCATATTACATTAAAAATAACATTTTCTATTATTAGCTATTATTTCAATTAATTTATAAATGAAGAATATAAAATCCGAATTTTTTTTAAATAATTATAGAAAAATCGACTTTTCTTAAAAAATGCGAATTACTGCTCGCGCTATTAATTAATAACTAAAAACTTTTGAAACTATGGACATTAAAAATATTTTTCAAGGATATTCAAAAAGGACAGAAAAAATTCCTTGACATTTCCCGGTTTTCCAAGTAGACACACAAATAAATCGAAATTTTTATATAAAAAAAAACACTGCGAAGTTGTTTTTCATCTTTTTTTTTTTAAATATCTCAAATATAACAAATTTCAATATTCAAAAAATAACAAGATTTAACGTTGTTTATAATAATTGCAGTGACAAAATTTGAAAGTTAACAACAAATTATTTTACTCCAATAAAATATTAAGTTTTATAAAATTTACATTACCATTAAATATTTGAGACCTACTGCTAAAAATAGATGAAAACAGATGACATTTACGAATAAAAAGCCGGTTGAAATTATTTGAATAATACAAATATTCAAATATTGAAATTATAAAAAAAATATTTCACTGTTTGTTGATTAAAAAATTTTGAACATTTAAGCCTTTATCGAGTAGAGATTCCAGAATGACTCAATAAAGAGGAAAAGAGGTTGAATATTTGCCGTGCCTGGTGGTGGTTACCCTCCTCCGCAAGGTATTGATCCATTGTTTGGCTTCAGAAAAAACGTCTTCACGTTATTAAACACGCAATCTGCCTTTTTTTTTTCTTCTTTTCCTTTTTTTTTTTAAATGTTTCACTGTTCTCTTCGGTCTTTCGCTCAATTGGTACGTGATAACGTTGCCACGGTGTCTTGGCAATTATCTTTCAACTTTTATATAATAAAAATCGATCACAAATATACCGCGAGTTTGTTGGAGAAAATAACACATCACCGCATTTTGACAAATAGTAGTGTATACATGAAAACATTTGTGTGCAACGAGTATGCGCACTGAAGTTTGAATCAGTTCAAAACGTCATATTGGACTTCCGCATTTCCGGTCAATTGTAATTTTTAAATTTAAACAAAATTTTATTATTCAATAGGGGATTTAAATGTTCAATGAATAATAATAATAAAGAAAATTTTCACAATAACGAAACTTTGTAATTTTCATTTTTTTTATTGTCGAATCAAACACCAAGTTACATGGGAAATGACTCCTCCCAAATTTATATTTTAGATGTTGGACGTGATTTTTATTTGCATTATGGATGAAATTCTAAATTTGCTAAATATAAAAAAAAAATTGAATTTTTGGGAAATAAATTTATAATTTTAACAAACTTGATAATTAAAAAATAATATTTTGAAAATTCTCTCAAACCGGAAATTGCTTGATCATTATAGTCACGCGCAGGACTCGTGGCAATGTTCAGTTAGTGCAACTCACTCTCTCTTTTTTGCTATATATACTGATTTTTTAAAGGATTTTTAGAATCAGAGAATGTTTTTTAAGTAATTTCTTCTATTAATGAAATAATTTATAAAATATTTAGTGTTTTTTTAGTGATTCTGAATATAAGGTAAGACATCTTTTTGTAAAGAAAAAAAAATGCATCTTTTAATAAGTTTATTTTACTTTTTTTGTAGTAATTTTTTCAAAGAAAAATTAATTTAATTTAAATTAATATTTATTTATAAATAAAAATTTACTGTCTAATTTCTAATTTTTAGATAATAATTTACAAACTTATATATAAATAAAGTTTTTAAGGTTATATTAAAAGTTTTTGAGGTTATCAAATTGTCCAAGGGTATGATATTGATTTGATAAAATTTAAATTAAAGATGGATGAGGGATTATATTATATAAGTTAAATTTAAAACATTCTTTTCTGTTTGAAAAAAATAAAATTATTGTAAATTTTTTTTTAAATGACAATTCTCATATCTTTTAGGCAAAAATGAAACTGTGGCTTGTTGTACTTCACATAATTTTAGTTGGTACAAATCTTTGGGTAACGGCACATTTTCACGAGGATGTACATGAGGACAATGAATTTGCCGAATTCGAAGATTTTGAAGAGGAAAAATCACAGCCACCAATAGAACACGAACCAGATGAATTCGTTGAAGCTGAAAAGGATCAAACTTTTGAGGAGGATGACGTTATGGTAGAGGATGCGGACAGTGAATTTGATCATTTTCAAGTGAGTGTGAAATTAACGAAAATAAATAATTTTCACAATTAAATTTAATTTTTCAAATTAAACTATTTATCAGGATGAAGAGGAATTTGAAGGATTGGACGTTGGTGGTGGGAATGCGGGTGGAAAACCTGATGAACCATCAACATTAACAATTACAAAAGTCCCGTTACATTTGCGAGCAAGATGGGATAGTTTTTATTTAGAAATTCTAATGGTCACTGGTTTAGTTGTCTATTTTATAAATTATATTGCAGGTAGATCAAAAAATTGTCGTATCGCCGAATCATGGTTCAATGATCACAATCAATTGTTTACGGATAATTTTTCTCTCGTTGGCGATACGGGAAAATCACATGATGAATCATCTGACAATGGCGGTACTGTCGTTAAAGAAAGTGAATCACAATATAGTTTATATTGTTCCGGTCGAGTTGGTTGTGATTCAATGCTAATTGAATTAAAATTAATAAAACGACAAGATTTAGTTGCTGTTTTAGCACAAATTGTACGACCACAGAATGATCAGGCGCAAATTAGAATTGAATTCTCAAAAGATGAGACTGATAATTTTGTCCTTGCTGTTGCTTCCAAAAAAACTGCCATGCATTTTACAAAAGATATTGCTGACATTAGTGTTTATTGTCCTGAGAAAAGACCTGGGGAAAAATTTAATTTACCCCTGGGTTTTTATGTTATGTCAGAAATTGCTGAAGCAACATCGACAGTTTTAGACACAAGGGTTCTTCAAGCATTCACTAAATACGCTCAGTATATTGATTATATTCATGTCAGTGATCAATTCAGTGGCGCTAAACAACAAGAGTGAGTTGATTTTTCAAAATTTTAATTAACTATATTATTTCTGTATAATATAAAAAAAAAAAAAAATTATTATTTTTCAGAGATTCTAGTCAACTCACCATGCCGGAAGTGAAACGAGTACTTTTGGTGGGCCTAAATATTAGTATTAAGGGGCGCATTCAAAGTGCGGAAATGCAGGAGAGAATGAGGCCTCTTCTTCACTTAACTTTTCATTTATTGGATAAATTACGTCGATTTAAACTCTCTAAGGAGGTTTGTATATATTCGTTTTCAAAAAAATTATTTACATGATAAGCAGGCCTCGGATTATGCGACTTTTTCGACTTTTTTTTTACATTTTTTTTTACAATATTTTTAAACAAAATACGTTTTTTTAGTATACAATCCAAATCTTCTTTATTTCAATTATTTTACAAATTTTTAACTGAAATTCATCACTAAATTAATTATTTTTAATAATTTTAATGAAATTCTTCAGAAATTCAATTATCTTCAACTATTTTTCAATTAAAATTTATGATGAAATTTAATAATTTAAAAAAAAAAAATAACAAATAAAATTACAAAAAATTTTCAATTCAAAATCAAAAATTTCAATTATTTTTAATGATTTTTACAATATTCTTCGAAAATTCAATTATCTCAAAGTATTTTTTGATTAAAAACTTTTGGAATTCAATTTTTATATATTCTTTCTAATAAATTCTTCATCAACAGAAATCACTAAAAATTTCTCTTATTATAATTATTGTCTGAAATTAAACACAATCTTTTAAAATTTAAATTATTTTCAAAAATTTCAATTTAAAAACTTTTAAAATTCAATTATTTTTAAAAATTTCAATTGAAAAGATTTTAAAATTCAATTATTTTCAAATATTTCAATTTAAAGGCTTTTAAAATTTAATTTTTTCTACAATTTTTTTGAAATTTAATAATTTCAATTATAATCCTCCTGAAATTCAATTATTTTTACAATATACTTCGAAAATTCAATTATCTCAAAGCATTTTTTAATTAAAAACTTTTGGAATTCAATTTTTATGTGATTTCTAATAAATTCTTCATCAACAGAAATCACTAAAAATTTCTCTTATTATAAATTATTGTCTGAAATTAAACACAATCTTTTAAAATTTAAATTATTTTCAAAAATTTCAATTTAAAATCTTTTAAAATTTAAGTATTTCTACAATTGTTTGAAATTTAATAATTTCAATTATAAATCTCGTAAAATTCAATTATTTTTATAATATTCTTCGAAAATTCAACTTTCTGAAAGCATTTGTCGCTTAAAAACTTTTGAAATTCAATTTTTGTATGTGATTTCTAATAAATTTTTTAATAACAAAAATCATCGAAAATTAAAAATAAAAAATTACTTGAAGCTCAATTAATTTCAAAAATCGAAATTGTAAATCTTTGAAAATTCAATTACTTTTAAAAAATATTATATCTAAAATTATTTAATAAATTATTTTTGTAAAATTTAATTATTGTCCAAAAATTAACAAAATCTTTTGAAATTAAATTACTTTTAAAAATTTCAACTTTATCTCTTCCAAAATTATTATTATTTAAAAGAAATTTGATTTAAAAATCTGTAAAACTTGACGGAAATTTTTTTGACCATTAAAACAAAAAACTTTTAAATTAGAATAAATTACTTAACTCAAACTTCAAAAAATTATAAAGTAAAATATTTATTAACCAATTAAATGTTGTTAAAATAAAGAAAACCGTCTTTTTTGACTTTTTTTTGGAATATAAATCGACTATAACGAATTTTTTTGTACTTTAAAGTCGATCCGAGGCCTGGATAAATGTAACAAATAAATAAATAATGATCTTTTTTTTGTATTAAATATAGGGAAGAGCGAAGAGTGACAAAAATAGACAGCGAGTGGAGGAGGCTTTTTTGAAAACGACTCACGCTGCACGAGCTGAAGCAGCAGCGCAACGTCGTGAAGAACGTCGACGACAAGAAAAAGAGAGAATCCTCCAGGAAGAGGATCCAGATAAACAGAGAAAATGGGAGGAGAAGGAACAAAAGAGACTCGCTAAAAAACGAGCACCAAGAATGAAACAACTTAAGGTCAAAGCATTGTGACCCCGTAATGATAATGACGAATTGATAAGCGAGGACAATTTAAAAAGTTAAAATTGAATTATTTATTCTCGCTGCCAATTTTAATTCTCATTATATTTATAATTCAAAAAAAAAAAGTCTGAAGTTTGAAGTCCAGTGGTTTATCCATAGGTAATAAAATATTTTAATGAGATCCAACACATACACCTTAATATCGATTTTAAAATTCTTTTTCACTGAAAAAACCATTTTTATTCATTGTCACAAATTAACGATTTTTTTTTTTTTTAATAAAAATCGATAAATATTTATAGATCGTGATTGTCATATTTATTGTATATAAAAAAAAATTATCTCAGAGAAATATATATATATTATATGTATTCAGTTGAAATTATGTCAGAAGATTATTCACCGCATGTCACAATTATATTATAGAATTTTGTATCCCTTTAGAAAAAAAAAAATAATAATAATAATAAAATTTCCTATTAGTCTTATTAAAAAAAAAAGCCTTTTTTCTAAGGGCGGGTTAAATTTCCATCCTCGAGTAAAGTTGCATTTCGTTGAATCACTGTTTTTGAAAATAAAAAATCACAATGCGAAACGAAATCAGTAATAACAATATTCATACCTCCAGGTCCGGGTTTATTTGAATTTATCCAAGGAAATGAGGCAAGTCGACATTTTTCCGATAAATCTTTATCTAAATTACCATTCAAGTGTCTCATCACATAGGAAATATTTGGAGTTAGCAAACATTGTGAAATAAAACCCAAATTTGGCAATCTTCTCTTAATTGTTTCAGTTAAAAATTCATTTAACTCTTTGGAATTTGTTGTATCAGGCCAAGGTGTTGGCCACATTCCACTTGGCCATAAATCTTGAAAATTTTTCGCCACAATATTCCTGTAAATGATGAGAATTTGATATTTTTGACTAATCAACCATTGCAATGTAATATGATCAAGTCGATTATAAACTGGACACAATTTCCAGCGAAAAATATTTTTAATTTTTCCAATTAAACGTCGATGATGATCCTCTGAGAAGGAATAAAAATGTTGAAAATCAAGAATTATGATCTCAAATGGATGTGACGAGAGCCAATCATTAATTTGTTGAAGAGGTTCACTAACCTCGGATCCATAGAGTCCATGAAGAAAATAAATTGAATCACTATTTAATTTTGTCGCTATACGTAAATCAAGATAACGAATTCCTCCATTTAATTGTTCATTTATCGATTCATGTTGATTTATGGACCAATTGAAAATTATTGGTTTTAAAATAAATGGAAAACATTGTCCGAAAAATTGTAATATTTTTGATTCATCAATTCCAATGTCATTGTAACGATTGATTGTATAGGTCGTTGTGTTATGTGATCCTGGAAAAAAAATTTATACTTGAAAATAATTATAAAATATAAGTCTAATGTAGTGATTAATTTTTCTATATATAGGATCCTGGGAAATATTGTTAAAAAAAGCAAGTAATTATAATTCCATGAGAAAAACCTTGATTTAATTCAAATGCGTCTATATTAGACTTACTTAGGATCTATTATCGACTTACTCATCAGAAAACTTATGTAAACTGATATTTTCGAAAGAAATTTAAAAAATCAAATTTACAATTTTAATTATAATAAAAAAACCTATAATTATTTAAATAGTAAATTTAAAAATCAGGTTAATTTAATGTAAATACTACTGGTTTTTTTTTTTTTTTTCAAATAACGCTATTCGAAATTATGTTTTTAGTAATTGCACAATTTAAACTTACCGGGAATGGACAAATGAATTATGGGTAAATTGCGAAGTGGAGCCGGAAGCCTTGTCATCCAAAACTCTAAATTGTCACAAATTTTTGCAAATGATTTAATATTTTTATGATCATTGAGTATAATTTCTTGCATATTTTCCATTTTTTGCACTGAATTTTAGCGGAAAGGAATAAATTTGATTAACAAGAAATAAGAATTGATGTATAAAATTACAGAAAGTAAAAGCAAATCGCGAAGTTTGATGAAAAAAAATTGAAGAGAGATTTTATAAACAGATATTTATAAGACAATTCAATTGTGTGGCCTTTTGTATAATAATACAAAGAGTTATTATTGTTTCCCCCATTTTATCCAGAGCTGCAAATCAGGTTATAATATCACAATCATAAATATTGCGCAATGCGAATATTTAGTTGTTCGTTTGACTAGCCGCGTATATTTAAATTTAAATTCTTTCATTTAGAAAAATTTATTCTTTTTCGTGAAATCAATAAAAGAAAGAATCTAACACAAGAGCAAACAATCACATAAAAGTACACACTATAGAATAATTTGGGTATAGTTTGTATTCAATAGTATATGACATTTAACGTAGTTATAATTTTATTTTATTTTTTTTCAAAATTTGATTGTTTTTGTCAAATTGTAAACTTTTTCTTTCATACCATTTTTTTTCAAAAAAAAAAAATCTTAAAATTTGTTAAATTATTAAATTTTTAGTTTCTTTTTTTTCAATTCGTGATCTTTATTCTTTTTTTTCTTAAATATTCAACAGTACAATGTATTAATTTTGTAAGCGTTTAAGCATAACTTAAAATGAAATAAATATTGTTTTTATCTTTAATATTTTATACATTAATATTTACAAAAGTTTAATTGTATTTTGATGAACAATATTTTTTTTTTTATAATTATTCACAAATATTATACTTTTTCTAAGAACATATTGAATTTCTCTAAATTATTAAATAAATATCGATTATCCAGTTTATTTAAAAGTAACGCGTTACTCAACTAATAGCTAGAACAATATTTTAATAATTTTTGAAAAATAAAATTTAAAATTCTATTAAATATTTCAAAAATTATTTACTTTTACAAAATTTGTCGTTAACGCGTTACAATTTTTAATTAAAAGATCAACACACATTATTTTATAATATACGCACACACACACATTTATACTCAATAAATAATGTTTAGAGCAAAATTTATAACAAAACCTGAAAATTTGAAAAAATATCAATAATTTTTCAGGAAAACTTGCTTGCTCTAACATTTTTTTTTCTAAATATATATGAACAATAAAAGAGCTAAAAAATATGAATTATTCTTAAATAATAGAACATTTAATGTTGTCAAGGAAGACAAATATTTGTAGACGGAAGAAGTTAGACTTAAAAAAATATACTTTGAAAATTCAACAAATTTTTCTAGTATTTCGTCATTCTATTTTGGCAAGCATGTAATTTACAATATTTTTCTCTTCATTCGATATATTATTAAAAAGTTTCATTATCATCGCATGATTCTGTTTCATGTCCGAAAACTAAAAAAAATAATCATTAATAATTAATAATTATTAATAATTGAATAAAAAATATTTTTATTTTTGCAAAACTTACCCTCACAATTTTCACAATATGGTCTTTCAATTCGACTTTTTTTAGCTTTTCTCGAATCTTTTTGTTCTAATTCAGCATCTTGCGATTGACGTGGACAATCCTCTGTTTCATGTAAATCAAATTGATCACAAATATCACAAAACATTCGAGGTGGAGCTGATCTTTTTTCTAAGGTACTTCTAAAAAATTTCATTTCAATATTAAAATATTCAATAAAAATAAAATATCTTTGTATTTTTCTTTTAATTAATTAGAGAAAGAAATTTTTCTGTTACCTATTGTAATCGTCAGCTTCATTTGAAGGGATTCCCATTTCGAGAACTTCAATTTTACATAGTAAATTTTCATTTTTTCTTTGCATATCAACTATGACAGAATTAAGAAAATCAATTTGTCCTTTAAACAAATTATTCTCTTCTATAAGTTGTTTACTGTCCGAATCTTGTGGTGCTTGAAAATTGAAAAAAAAAAAAATGATTATTAAATTGAAAAAAAATTGAATAACATAGAAAATATTATAAATTACCTGTATTTATTTTTGAATCACCGCCTGCTATTTGATTTGTTAAACTATTAGCATTCATTTCCATCTGAAATAAATATATTTTACGTTATTTATAAATAATTAATTAATATTTTATTTTTCAAATAAAAAAAATTGTATTTTATGCTTACATTTTCGTTAGTCGCAATTTTCTTCTTAGATTTCTCTAAAAGTTGTTTATTTTCTTCTTCTCTGTAATAATTTATTAAAAATTCATTAATTTATAAAAAATTTCAATATTTTCGAAAAAAAAAATATACGTACAATAAATTTTTCGTATCCTTTAATTGTGAACATTCTTGAGTGAGTAAATTTACTTTTTCCACAAGATTTTGTACATTCTTTTCGGTTTCCTTTTCTTTTACTTTCATCGAATTTGATAAATTATGTAATTTTTCCTCTGTTTCTTTCAATAATTTTTCAACATTATTTTTTGTTGTTTCCAAATTTATTTTCTCATTTTTCATAGTGTCCAATTCTTTTTGAATAATTTTAATTTCATTATTACGTGAATCTTGTTCTATTTTTGATTTTTCCTTTTGTGTTTCTTGTAGTAAATTAATTTTTCCCTCTAATTCAACAATAAAAGTTTCTTTTTGTTGTAATTCAGATTTTTGTTTATTCATTAATTCCACAAGTTGTTTAATACCTTCATAATCATTATTCTGTTGAATATTTGCAACGCTTAATAAATTTTTTATTTCCATTTCTAAAGAATTTTTTGTATTTAATGCAATTTTCTCGGATTTTGTCAATTGATCGGTTTTATTTTCTAATTCATTAAGATGATTATTTTTCTTTTTTAATTCTTCTTGAATTTCAATTAATTTTGCCTCCAATGATTTTAAATTGTCATTTACTATTGAATTTTCCATTGCCAATTCTTTGTTTGCATTTAAAATTTGTTGTACATATTCAGTATTTGTTTTTAATTGATTTTCGAGATTTTCAATTATTTTTGTTTGTTTTATTATTTCGTTAGTTTTTTCACTAGCTATTGCTTCGATTTCAGATAATTTTTCATTTGTTGTATTTTTACATTGATTGGCAGCGTTTAATTGATTATTCGATTCATTTAATGAAATATTCAATTGATTGAGTGATTTTTCCAATTTTTCTTTTTCGGATTCAATAATTATTAATTGTTGCTTTAAATTCATGAGTTCTTGGGAATTTTCCGATGTAACGTTAGTGTAAGTTGATTTTAAAAGATTTAATTCTTTTTTTGAATCATTATAATTTGCATTAAGTGATTTAATTTCGTTATTTAATTCCTGATTTTCAGTTTCTAATTTTTGTAGACGATTATTTAATTCTTTGATTTCTAATTGTGCGGATGTATTTTTTGTCTCAGTGTCAGATCGTGAATTTGTTTCTTCATTTAATTTCTCCTTTATTTCTTTAATGGTATTTTCATTTTCTTTTTTATCGTTTTCTAGTTGATTTTTCAAAATTTCTGTGGTTTTTATTTTTTCTTGGAAAATTGTCAATTGATCTTGTAATTCATGAATCGATTTTTCAAAATTTTCTTTTTCATTTTTATGTTCATTTTCTGAATTTGTTAATTTTTCAGTTAAATCAGAAATTTCTTCTCGTGTTTTCACTAAATCTTGTGCTAATTTATTTAATTCTTCAGTCTTTTGATGTAATACACTTTGAGCATTTTCATTTTTCTCTAAAAATTGGATATGTTCTTGTTCTCTTTTTTCATAATCTGTGAGTTTATTGGAAAGAGATGATATTTCATTGACTTTAATTTCCAATTGAGTTTTTCTTTCATTATTTTCAATTTCTATTTGCTCTTTGAGTGTATTGAGACGAATTATATCTTGCTCAAGAGTTGATGATTTTATTTCTGCTGTTGATAATAATTTTTCTAATTCATAACCCTTTTCTTGTGCTTTATCTAATTCTTTTTCTTTTTTTCGAAGATCCTCATTATATTTTGCAAGCTGCTGAGAAGAATCGGATGATGTACTTATCACATTTGCTATTTCCTCCTCCTGTAAATAAAATTAATAATTTTATTTATTTATCAAAATTAATAAAAAAAAAAAAATAATTACCAATTTAGCCTTTTGCTGTGCTATTTGACACAATTTTTCTTCATTCTGTTTGATTGTTTTATTCAAATCTTGAACATTAGTTTCATACATTCCAAGTTCACTTTCAAGATTAGTTTTCGTTTGTTCAAATAATGTTAGAGCATCTTGCAATTCTGTATAAAAAGAAATTTAATTTAATAAAATTTAATTTTTCTATTTTTTTTTTTTTTTGTACTTACCTGTATTTTTTTCTAAAAGATTCTTGATTTCCTCGTCCTTATTGGCTATAATATTTTTAAGATTATCAATTTCTTTCTCGAGATTATTAATTCTTAAACATTGTTGAGCAGCGTCAGTACTCATTTCATTTATATGTTTACATTTATCGTCAATTTCACGCTGAAGATTACATCTCATTTCTTCAACTTCCGTTTCTTTTGTATTTCGGAGATTTTCTAATTCAGTCTCTTTTGTTTTTAAGTCTTTATCTAATTTGGTTAATTCTAATAAATTATTTTCTAATTGATTTGATAATGCTGTTATTTTTTGTTCCTAAAAAAAAAAAAAATTTATGAAATTAAATTTAAATCATCTAATAAAATTGAATAATTTATTAAAAATTACCAATTCATGTTTCTCTTGAGAATTTTTGATATTGTTTTCTTCTAATTTTTCTTGAAGCTCTTTTATATTTTGATTTAGTATATTATTATTTTCTTCAGTCATTTTCAATTTTTCAAGATATTCTAGAAAAAGGAAATTTTTTTTTTATTAAATATAGAAAAATAAATAAAAAAATTCGTACTCACCATTAGAATTAGTTGTCAATTTTTTTATTTCTTCATTGGCATTTTTTTGTGATTCATGTAATAAATTGATATCGGCAATTAATTTATTAGTTTCATTAATTTTTTCATCTAATTGAGATGTGATTTCATGTAATTTATTATCTTTCTCAGCTAAATGTTCCTTGATTATGTTTTCATGTTTTAGAATTATATCATCTTTTTCTATTTTATATTGATTGGTAATTGTCTCGATTATTTCTTGTAATCTTTGAATTTCTTTATTCAAAGCCTCGGCATTTAGGGAATATTCTTTTTGCATTTTTTCAATAATTTCACATTTTTCTTGTAATATTCGTTGTCCATCTTCGGCTGTTTTTTGCCACGATAATGCTGATTGTTTACTAGAATTATTTTCCACTTCCTTTTTGTCTAATTCACATTTGAATTTTTCTATTTCCTCAACATATTTATGAATTGCAGAGACATTTTCTTCAATTTGCTTTTCAAGTTTACATTTTTCCTCTTCTAATTTTTTATTATTTTCTGATAAAACTGAATTTTCTATTGAATACAATGAATCAAAACTAAATAACAATAATAAATAAATGGATAATACCTTTTACTTCGTCTTTATCTTGAAATGATTGAATTTCAATACGAAGTCGAGTTAATTCTTCTTCAGCTTCGAATAATTTTGAATTTTCCTTTTCAAGTAAAACAATTCGTTCTTTTTCTTCGACAATTTGCTTCTCAAGTTCCTTGATTGTATTTTCATTTTTTGTATTTATTACCTGTTAGAAAATTCATTGATTTTACTTGCAAAAAGGTTAGAAATATCAATTTTCAATTTGATTATATTTATTTTGCGGAAAAAAAAAATTTTGCAAATAGGAAAATAATGAAATTTAATTTTTTTTTAAAAAATATCTTACGTATTTGTGTATTTTCAATGATAATTAATTCTACATGATACTAATAGCAAAGAAATAAATACATGCATATGGTATAAAAGATGAATTTATATTACGATATTCGTGATAACAACTACTTTTTATAAAAGAAAACCTTTTTTTTTACAGTTTCGTTAGTAAATGCATTTTTATATCTAAAACTAATTTTTTAGTTTCATTTTTTTATTAATAATAATAATAATAATCATTGTTATTATTATTTTCTATGATCTACTTATTTAATAAATAGAAAAACAAAAACTTTTAATTACCAACAAAATAGAAAGTTTAACAAATTCTTTCTAATACATTTTTTAGTAAAAAAAAAAAATAGTTATCAAATCTCTTTGAGACTTGAAAATAAAGCGAAATTTAAAAAAAAATAGAACAATTTTAGTAATGAAAGCGAAAGAAAGAAATATGAAATAGCTTATTGTAATAATGAGATGGTAAGCTTAAGAAAAAGATTAGCATGATGACAAGACAAGTAGAGCAGAAATACAGCATCAACATCTCCTCGGAATCAAAAGACATCCTTTTGATACTCACGCTCTGTTCACTTTTTTGATTCTGAAAATAACATCAAATTTTATTTATTTTATGATTTAAAAAAAAAGACTTTTGATGTAATAAGCTTTTTTTATCAAATTCCAAAAACCCTATTTCCCCTCAATTTAAGAAGCTGATAATTTTTTTTTTTTTTTTTGCAATTAACAAATCACTATGACACTATGAAAGGCAATTACAAATATTTTACATTTATTCCCACCACCAAAATAATGTTATTTAGTATAAATACAAATCAACTGGATTTTTTAGTTTTTACTCTGTCATTTCAGTCACATTTTTGAAATTTCTGAAAATATAATTCACAACATTTTATTTTGACTTTTGTTTATAAATTAAAGAATCTTTTACCAATAAATAAAAAAACTATAGGGGGCTGTATTTAAAAAAAAAAAAAACTAAAAATTTATTTTTAAATATTCTATATACCTGAATGTCATCCTTGTCAATAGATTCTTCTTCGAAACGAAATTGAAGATCTTCACATTTTCTTTTCTCTTCTTCCAATTGTGTGCCAAGCATATTTTTTTCCTTCATTAATTGTTCTATAACACTTTGTGAATCTTGAACAGTTTTTTCTGTGTCTTGTCGAAACTGTGATAAAATGAAATATAGATTTATTTTAATATTTTCAACAATTAATTATAATAAATCTAATATGTACATTGAAATTTATCAAATTTATATTAAAAAAAAAATACTTTAATAAACAAATAAATAATAAACATTTTCAAAATCAAACAAAATTTTAATTATAAAAATGAAAAATCATAATAATAAAATAAATTAATTAATTATATTAATAAAAATTACCTTATCATATTCACGTTTTAAATTTATTACAGATTGTTCAGCTTGATCTGCCTGATTAGCAGCTTTTGTAACTCTTTCGCGTTCTAAATTTCGTTCTTTAAGAAGGTTCTCAATCTCTAATTGTTTCTCTTTCAGCATATCCTACAATATAAATAAACTCTACATAAATATTATATTAAAACTAATATAATTACTATTATACTTATTATTAATAATATTATTTTAATTTCTATATAAAATCAAAAAATTGGTTTTTTATTATTTTATTAATTTTTAATTATTTCACAATTCCAAAGCAATTTTATTTACTAAATTTTTTAAGATTTATTTAATAATAAATAATTATTCATGTGATTAAAATAAATTATTTATTTTTTAAAATATAATAACATTACAAATTGTTTAAATAAATTATGTCAGTCTATTTCTCTCTTTTATTTCTCATTAATTTATGTCGCAGCAAATATCATGCAAGCACAATGAAGAACAGAACATTAAATCACGTGCTTATAAAAATAAAAATATTTGTAAATTTTTTAAAGTTATATCATTATTATTATATTATTATTAAATTATATATGCAAAAAATTTGTTATAATATCTGTATATTATGTATTTATTTATATTATATTTATAATTTAATAAAAAATATATTTTTTTGTATATATTCGACTAATATCTAATCATAAAAATTATAATGAATCAAAATAATCATATATTTTTTTATAAATTAATACACTCAATTGTCGATCAAATAATAATAGTAATTATAATTTAAAAATATTGAAGGAAATGTTTTTTAGTTATTAAATTTTTATTTTACTAAATACTTCATCTTTTTATCTAAAAAATGTAAATGTGATAAAAAAAACAATTTGCAGGAAAAGTAGATTCTTTCAATTTTATTTTGAACAAACAAAGAAAAACTTTTATTTTAAAAATTCAGTTATAGAAAAATGCCAGTTAGAAAAAAATAATTTATGTTTAAATTCAATTCATTAAAAAATTAAATTAGGATAATTTAAGTTTTTAAATTTAATTATTAGATAATTTAATTATTTTAGTTTAATTCTATTTTAAATACAATTACTTAGTAATATAATTCTTTTAATTTTAAATCATTTCTTAAAATTCAATTAATTCACAACTTAATTATTTTTAAATCAATTTTTCTAAATAAAATTATTTTTAATTATTTTCTGAATTTAATTATATTAAGTTAAAAATTTCTAGTGTGACGTTAATAATAATTTTATTAATTTTATCTGTTACTCTGAATTTTAGCCTTAATTCTTTAATTTTGTTTAAAATAAAAATTTTTTTATCAATTTTTTTCTCTTTGCTATCGATTCATTGCGTGAATGTAATTTTTCTTATTTCTCTTTTAAAACGATTAATAGAAAATTAAATAATATGAAAGAAATTGAATAAACAAAATTGAATTATTATAATAGTAATTAAATTAAGAATTAATAAATCGATAATTTTTGGAAAATATAGTTTCTAATTTGGAAAAAATAATATACGTTTAATTTATAATTTTTAAATTTATATCTTATTGAAAATAAATTTTCTTTTCATTATTTATTCAAAAGAAAATTGTAAGATAGTTCTAGTCTCCTCAATTAAAAAAAAAAATTTTATATCCATATTTTTTTTTATATAAAAATTACAATTACAATATCTCACCTGCAGTGAAGTTCGAGCAGGTGCTTTGACAAACATAGACGTTCTCTGGAATGTTAGACAAATTCAAAATAACTTGGATCATGCAAATTAAAAAAAAAAAAAAATACATCTACCATATTTGCATGCAAAAATAATTATCAATTTTATTCAAAAACCAAAACTAAATATATTTTCTAAATAAATAAATAAAAATTAAAAGCATGCAATTTTTATTTTACTATTGTATAAAATTCTAATATATTTATTTCTACAATAAAGGATTAGGAATATACAGGATGGATAGATATTGTCAACATTTTTTTTTTTTATTATTATTTTTTTTCAACAGTAACGTTAAAAAAATAATCTACTAAATACATAACAATAAATACAGGAAAGCATGCACAATTTTTTTTTTTCTTTCAAAATGTCTATAACTATTATAGCAAGCACAAAAAAAACAGCTATAAAGATTTTGGAGACTCATATATAAATATATACAATTTTGTTGTTATTCATCCGGTATGACAAATCTTACCCTAGATGTTGAAGAAACACTTTTTGCAGCAGCAACACTTGCTGTTGTACTTGTTGTTGATAGAAGCGATTCACGTGAACCCAATTTTCTCAATGATGTATTTAATGCTGCTCCCGAGGGTCTATGAACAATGCACATTCCTGCTTTCTTGTTTGATGGTGATCGACTTACTTTGTGTACCGGTGCAAATAGACCATATTTTGGACGACACTCAAAATACCTATTAAATATAGTGTTTACAATATATTTTTTTATATTTACACTCAAAAATTTATCTCTTGTGTCTTACAATTATGTATTATTATTTTTATTTATTATTCATATTTTCTATTTTGCATTATTTTTGTAAAAAAAAAACAGGAATTGAAATAAAAAAAAAACCTCTTATTATCAACAGATCCATCATTTTTTCCAGAAGGTTCGTCCAGTTCAACGCCACACCATTCTCCAGGTGCAAATTCGGTCATGCCCAGGTATCTAAGTACTCCTATTTTACTCCCTTGGCTAGAGGATATTATAACTCTCTCTCCTATCCGAAGATCTTTGTGAGTTACCGATGAGAGGCTTGTGGTGGAAGTGTCTGCACGATTATTAATAATTTAGTGTTTCGTGCACCCAGAGAAAAGGAAAAAATTATTTATTTGTGTCTCAGAGTGATTACAAAAAAAAAATTTATATTTGTTTCAAAATAAATTTTATATTCGATAAAAATAAATATTTGATTCAAATTAATTTTATTTTATTTTTTAAATTAAAATTAAAATTAATTTTATTTGATTGAAATTAATTTTATTTACGCTAAATAAATTATCATAATAATAATAAATATTTAACTCTGAGATGCAACAAATATATTTTTATTTTTATTTTAATTCAATTAAATTGGTTCAAATGAAAAATTTCTCTGGGTGTATGTAAGTGTACAACTACTTTACAACAACAAAAACTACTTTTATGTTAATCGTACGATTGTATCGTATTATAACCATAAATTTGTCAATTTAATTTTATAATTTCTATAAGTTTAATTCATTTAGAAAATACTATTTTATAAAAGCATTTTTTTCATACTCAATTTTTTCGATTTAATTATTAAAAATTTTAAACATTTCTTACATTTTTAAAAAGAAAAATTTCAAAATTTTTTTATAATCGTACGATCCACATAAAAGTAACTGATTTGTATTACTAAATTCGGCTTAGAATCTGGGCTCGCAGTTTTTAGACAAATATAAAAAAAAAATGAAAATTTTTAATCTTTTTATTCGTAATTAGAGTTAAATATTAATCCTTTTGTAAGAAATAGTGTTGCAATTGATACGAATTTTAAAAATATATTGTAAAAATATGTTTATAAAATAAAAAAAAAAACTATCAAAAAAATTAAAAATTACATAAAAAAAAACCAAAGTTAAAAATATAAAATCGTTTATGGAATTACAATAAAAATTCTTAGTAAGCTCTCGGCGGGGCTATTTTTATTGAGACCCAGTTTCTAAGTCTTATTAAGGAACACACAATTATCTGATAATTAAACAAAACGAGTTAAAAATAAAATTTCCAAAGCCACAATTTTACAACTATACAAGGCCAAAAATCAAACACTACGATTTGTTTATCTATATAATTTAAAAATTTTAAGCAATTATTAACAACAACAACAACAAAAAAAAGAGTTAGTTAAATACTATTTTTTTCCTTTTAAATAAATTTTTCTATTTTTTTCTATGTAAAAAATTATTTTCTTTTTAATATTGCGTGCCTCTCTAAGACTTTATAATGTGTGTTTGAAATGTGTCAGTAATTATTTTAATCTATATCATCAAGTTATTCCACACTACAATATTGACTTCTTATATTTTTAAATTTAAAACAACCATTTTTTTTATTCAAAATTAAATTTCCTATAACATCTCAAAAAGCATCAAATATTATAAATTTAAAAAATACTTAATATATTTATTAGTTTATATACTACACACTAAATTTTTACAAATATGAAAAAAAAAAATTCGTCAACGCATAAATTATATACGAAAATTAAAATTATTATAATTTATACGTTTAAAATTATAAAATAAAGAGAAGACTTATTAAAAATAAGAAGAATTACTGCAGATCGAAAAAAATTATTTTTTTAATAAAAATTAATATATAATAAGGTAAATGCTCTAGTTACCGTCACTTTTGCTTCAGTAATCGTCACATAAGTAATTTGAGAATTTTAAGCAATGTATTGAAAAAATTATTATTATAATTTATTATTTGTATAAAAATAATTATTTAAAATTGAAAAAACATAATCTTTATTTGTTTTAGAAAATATTTTTTGTAATTTTCAATGAAAGTGACAGTAACTAAGGAAGTGACGAAGACTGGGGCATTTACCTTAATTTTTTTTTTCAAATAAATATTTATTTCTTTTAAATGAATATTTATTTGATAATAATAAAATAAATTTTCTTTCATGTTTTTTAAAAGTTTTACTGAAAAATAAATTTTTGATTCAAATAATTCATTATTTAACTATTTATATTATTTATAAATATCAAATAAAGGAATTTGTTTATATTAAATAATTACTTTTTTTGTTTCGTTTCAAAGATTAAATTATTCGGTTTTAAATATTTATTTTGATAATTATATATTTGAATCAAATTATTCTTTTTCTAATTTTTTTTTTAAACGAAACTAATTGTAATGAAGTATTAGTCCCAATAACAACAAAAAAAAACTGTTTTGTAATATAATAATTGAACATGCTAGAAAATAAAAGAAAATTAATTTTTCTGGCAAAAAGGAAGCGATACTACTTAATTTAGGCGATAACTATGTAAATATATATAGTCAATAATAACAATATTAATATTTCAAAGTCACGCTCCACTTTACATGCGATTTGAACTGTATTTGGTACGTGTCTTACTTAGCGAGGGAGACATGGATTGGTTCAAAGAATATCTAGAACTTTCAGTTGGTGATGTTGGAGATGTAATCGACACATCGCGAGATAATGGTTGTCTTGTGAGTCGTGAGAGACGGGAGAAAATACCACGTTTTGGTTCACATTGAAAATAACGATAACCAGCAACTGAGCCATCATTTTTTCCTAAAAAGTAAAATTTTTTATTAAAAACATTTTATAATTTATTTTATTTATTAAATATTATTATTTCTCTATTTTATTTATTTAAAAAAATATTGTTTGTTTTTATTATTAAAAAATATAGTAGATGAAGAATTTTATTATTATACAGTTAAACCTTGTTAAGTGAGACGTGTCCCAGTTACGCAGGTTTGACTGTAATGTTTTTAAACTTACCAATTGTATCATCGAGAACAATTCCAGCCCAATCTCCCGGAGCAAATTGTGTTTCTCCAATATATGCAATTTGTCCAGCTTTTGTTCCACCGACCCATACTCGGTCACCTATTATAAAGCTATCTGTGTCTTCCGTTAGGACCACACTATTATCTGTTTTAAAATTAAAAGTACATTTTTTTAAAAAAATTTTATTACCAACTAATATAATATTCTATAAAAATGTTATTCATGAATTTCAAATCTGTGGAAAAAAAAATTTTTACTTTTGACGCTAATGGTTATTTAATCATTTTTCTATAATAAAAAAAAAAAAAAAAAACAAGTTCGTATTAGGAAAATTTATGTACAAATTTTTAAAAACTATTTAGAAAATATTTTATTATTTCTTTATGGAAAATATAAATTTGAAATAATTATAAAATCGATAAAGAATAATTTAGAATTACTATTTTTATTTTATTTTTTATATTATTATTATAAATAATAATTGTTATAAAATGTAATTCAAAATATAAAAAAGGAATTTGATTTTTATGAAAATACGTATTCGCGGAATGAAAATGAATCGTTATTTAGAAAACAATATGAATTTGAAAAAAAATTGGATTTTTTTTCTAAATAAAAAAAAATTTTTTTTTTTATTTATCTTGGAGAGAATATTTAAAAACCTACCTGATCCCCTTCTTAAACCCGCCTCACTCAAACGACGACCATGCGTTTCCCAAAGGTGCTCCATGAAATCTGACGTATCATGCAAACACAATACATTTCAAACTAAAAGCAATGCAATAAGCGCACTAAAAAGTATCTATAGTGTTTAAGACACATAAATATAAAACCATATGTACAACAATGCCCAACATATTTTTAATTCAAAAAAAAATTTGCATTTTTATATTTAAGAAAAATAAATAATTTATTATTATTTAATTAAAAATAATAAACAAATAAATTACCTACATACAAATTTATTTAATCGACATTAGTTTCATATTTGTTTCATTAATTAATGAAAAAGTAAACATAAAAAAAAAATAAAAATTATAAAAGTTATAAATTTATAAATAAATAAATAAATAAAAATAAATACAAAAATAAATACAAAATTTTGTCTAATCAAAATTCACTTAATTAAAAATTCTTCCAATATAAAAATTGAATATAAACTTTTTAGAAAATTTGTGTAAAAATAAAAATTCAATAATTTTGAATTCGTTACCAAAACAAAAATTTATTATAATCATTGTCTATTAAAATAAAAAATAAATTACATATTTTAGGGTTGGGCCATTGATTATTATTATTATTGTTACATATTGAATAATCAATAAATAGAATTATTAAAATAAAAAATAGATTCAAATTCTTTTGAGAATGATTATATAAAAAATCAATTATTAAAATTGGACTTGTAATATAAGAACAAAATACTAAATAGCATCGATAAATTGGAACTTTTGTATTACAATATTGTAACGACTACTGCGTGTATAATGTGTATATTTATAAATGTGATGTGTACTTTTAAACGTGATCTAAGTATATATATGCAAATATACATCAAACAAAGCAACAATGAAAAACATATTAACAGAATCTGAATCACGTTCCTTTTCATTCATGCGAGGTTATATTTTTAGTTAGTGGCATAAGATGATCAGCTTACTTCCTATATATTACGATTTAATAATTCTAAACAGAGAGAGAGAGAAAGAGATAAGTCCTTAAAAATGGTCTTGACCGGTATGTCCGGGTCTCTGTTTCATTAATTATTTATTAAGATTTGTAGGAGGAATCATTGCACAGTAGTAGGTGTTCCAACTTGCTTTTTACAATAGTAGTTTTCCAATTATTTTTTTTTTTATTAATAAATACAAAATTTTTTTTTTATTAATAAGTACAAATTTTTTTTTATTAAATTAATAAATAATAAAAAAAATTGTATTAAATAAATAAATTAATAAATAAATTATTAATAAATTTTATTAATAAATTTTTTTGTTCCATAATTTCAATATTTTCAACAGTAAACTAAAATGAATATAACAAATTAATTTCCAATTCTAATTTAATATATTAAAATATTTTTCATTTTTCTCAAATATAAAATATTTTTTATAGATAGATTTTTTTATTTCTCCATTGTGTATTTTTTACAAAGTTTTACAATTTTTTCTTTCCCACTAGTTTTATATTTTTTATATTATTCGCAATGAATTAGAAGCTAATTTTAATCCTTCATTTATTTTTTTATTTATTTATTAATAATTAAATTTATTAATAAAAATAATTAATTATTTACTAATTTATTTATTAATTTTTTTATCAATTTTTTTAATTAATTTATTTATTAATTTTTTTATTAAAATTATTAATTAATTAATTTTTTAAATAATATTTTACACTAATGCAAAAAAATGCTTAATTTTCGAATTTTTGACAAATAACCATTTTTAAGGAACCAAAATAAAAGCCATGCTGTGAAAATTAAGTTCCATTGAATGAAATGAAAAACTGATATAGATGAACAATAAATATTGCATTGCATAAGAGTCATGCGTCATGCAATGATGACTGAACAGTCCGCTCTCAGTCATCAAGATATGTGCCCTCGATCCTTGCACATACTTATGTGGCTAGTTGACATAACCATATAGTACATCCACGGAAAAAAAATCAAGTATTGTATATATACTTAATTCTTAAAATTCCGACTAAATTATGAAAATTAGTGACTAGTTTTGTTTGTCCTTTTATTTTAAGAAAAAAAAAAAATTAAAATTATTATTTTTTTTTTAAATTAAAAACCACCCAATGTTTAAGGGTTGAAATTGTTAATATAAAAAAAAAGATTAATAAATTAAAATTTATATCTGTCATATAAAAAGCATTATTTATTATAAAGCATAGGATTTTGAAATAAATGAAATAGTGTATTTAATTAAAAAATTAATAATAAATTAGAAAAAAAAATTAGAAAATTAATTTTCAAAAAATATTAATTTTTTTTTTTAAATAAGATTTTTTAAATAAATAAATTGGAAATTTAAATTGTTTAAAAATAAGTAAATATCAGATATATCGAGGCTAGTTAATCGACCGTATTACATTTTTATGATTACATATATAAATATTTACATGCAGATACATAGTTTTATGTTGTACATACATGCATAATGTAGATACATACATATTTATATTTTTTTCTCAATTAGAAAATAAATTGATTTATTAATTTTATATAATTTTTCAAAAAAGTGTTTCATTGTTTTTTTTTTCAAATGGAAAATTGAAAAAATTTTGAAAACCAAGTCTCATTTAAAAAAAAAAGTAAATTATGCCAAATGACAAAAAAAAAGTAATTATCACTTTAAATCAATTCGACCCACTGTTGTTATTCGAGGACAGCGTGTTCATAAATTTTTATTCGCTATATTGCTTTATTTAGTTTCTCCTAATTGTTGAGTTGTGTCATACACCTACATATTCAATTTTTTTTTCAATTTGAATTAAATAAATAATTAAATGAAAAAAATAAAATAAATAAAAACAAAATTTGAATTAAATTGACGTCTTTTGATATTGTAAATTCTCTTTCAAAAAAAAAAATCTCTTAATAATAATTTACATTATTGACGTGTTTCTAAAAATAAAATATGATCATAAACACATGACCAAATTTTAATATTTATGGGATTGTTTACTCGTGTATATTACGACGTGTGCCCTTCGTGATTATAAAAAAAGGAGGAAAAAATTAAATTTTCAAATTTATTTCAGTTTGTCACTTAAATTAAAAAAAAAGAAAACAAATTACAATATTATTTACATTTTTTGAAAATTCTATTTTATGTTTTTTGTTTTATATTAATATTTTATGACTTGATTTTCAAAATAAAAAAATTGTTGTGCATATGATTTATAAAAAGTAATACCTATTATCTAATTTTACGGAACGAAAATGTATCAATTTACAAAATTGTTTTTAAATTTTTAATTAGAAAATTAATTAATTTACTATAAAAATATATTCCTTAAATTTTAGGAGGAAAAAGTAAAAATACTTTTGAATTTTATTAAAAAATTAAAATAAAATAAAAAAATATTCACTTTTTTTAATTAAAAATTCAAATTTAATAAATTTATTTTATTTTTAATTAAAAGATTAATAATTCATCTTAGACATTAATTTTCAATATTATTTTTTTTCTTCAAATAATTTACACTATTAATAATTTAAAACAATTTTTAGGAAAAATTGTATTAATTCAACATTTTCTTTCCGCGAAAACTGTGTGTATTTTTTTTTTTTTAATATTTACCAGTTTAATTAAAACAGATGTGTGTTGCGATGAGAAGTAAACAAATATGAAAGACTACCTGAGTCTGACAGAAAAGTTTCAAGTATATGTATTTACCTTCACAAGACTCGATTAATACTGATGTAACTGTTGCTCACAATACGATATACACTTTAAGATAAACCGTGGGTGATGTTTATGTCGTGTATATCGTTGTATGTGTTTATATGCATTAATTTGGTGGGGAATGTTCTTTCTTAATGGTTATTTCATATTTATTTAGCACTTTTAAATAATTTCTAATCTAAATAATTTAATTTAACAAAAAAAATTTTAATTTCTGTATTTAAATGAGTTATTATTATAAAAATCATTAATTTCAAATATATTTATTAATATAATTTAATGTATTTTAATATATTTTTAATTAAATTTATATTTATATAAAAAATTAAATTATAAAAAAAAAGATAACTTAAAATTAGTAAGAAAAAAAAAGTTTTGCCAATGAAGAATTTTTTTTACTCATTAGAAAAACTAACAAAAAAAGTCAGTCACTAATTAAAACAAATTAAATTTTACACTAATTTAAATAATTAAAAATTTGTCTAACGTAAATTGTCTTTTACTACTAAAACACGAATTTACAAAAAATATATTTTGTCTGACTAAAATTGATTTTTAATATTAATACAATTAAAAAAAAAGTGAAATTATAATTACTGATATATTAATTACAAAAATGTGAAAAATGCATTGTATGAATAAAATATTAATTTTAACTATTGAAATTAAATGAAAAGAATGTGATAAGTTTTTCTGACTAAAACTCACTTTTACTACTGATACAAAATTACAATATAAAATATAAATAAAAAAAAAACAGCTATTAAATTTATCTAAAATACATCAAACCTGTGCGAGTATAGTTGAAATTTTTTAATATTTTCCTCTTCAAAGTAATTGCGATTTACTAAATTATAGAATAAATTTAAATGTCTTACCTTTCAAAATGTCGTTAAATTAAAAAAAATGCTCCATTATTATTCTAGTAAAATACACTTAAAAAATTAATAGAAAAAAAAAAATTTGCTTTTAAAAACTTACTCATTGAAGCTCTCGGTGGTGTCGGTGGTACTGCAGGTTTAGGAGGTGCAGCACTACAAGGTCTTCCAATTTTCGAAGGTTGTCGTAAATTTGATGCCTTTGTTTCCGACATTGTATATTAACTAGTATTCGATACACTTATGATTATACAACACTGAAACAAAATATGAAACATTAATATATAACATTACAAAAAACAAGTTCTCAATATCTCACTATATATATATATTATGCACAGTAAAAAAATGTCTACTTTTTAAAAGAAATAAATTGTACAGTTAAAAATTTACAACTCAAAACAATAGCAAAAATATGTAGATTATTAGAAAAAAACAAAATAAACAACTGTTTCTCATTTGTTTAAAAAGTAAATCGAAAAAAAGTTTATGAAATATCTTTCAAAAGAGGTTATCTTTGAAAAACATTGTGAATTTATGAAATTTCTATGAAAATTATACCTCAATTATTTGTCGTTAATTAGCTCTCAATATGTTCTTTCAAATTACAAGTTACAATAAAATTAACATTTGACACTAAAAAAATAATAACAAACTTTCCATTACACTTGAGATTTGTTTTTTCACCTGTTTTTTTAATAAGCAAGGATGAGTAGTAGCAGTCTTGAAGTTTTGTAAAGGTCCTATCACACGTTTTATTTCATTACAGGGTTGGAAAGCAACAAATAACTTTAGCGTTGAAACGGTGGAATTTTGAACTAAATTTTTGTACTTCCCCCACTTGTCCAGTATTCGGAACGTAAATTTACGCAAAAAACCGCGCAAATTTAAAATTAAATTCTAAGAGATTTTTTTTATAATAAAATAAAAAATGTAATTTTTCTATAAAAAAAAAAAGAAAAAAAATTTAATTATTAAAATAAAAATGGATATTGTAGAAAAAAACGATATAATTAAAAATATATATATATCGAAATAAGTAGAATAATTTAATAAAATTAAAAAATCGAAACAATTTGGTTTAAATAAAGTTTATATTGTTCGAGATTTACATGTTACAACATCTACGAGGATTTTTGTCATAAAGACGAGCATGTCATGGATGTCGAACTTTTTAATAGAGTACAAAGGGAAATTTAATGTGTAAAATTATGCGTTCGTTAAATATATCACGACCACCTAAAATTTGAATCTGTCTCTCTCTCTCTGTATATTTCTCTCCATTTATTAAACGGAGATATTGACGCAATAAGACGGATATAATATAGAAAAACAGCGCATCGTATAAAAGAGTAGTCAGCGATGTAATTTTTTTTTCATTTTTTTTTTTTTTTTTTTGACAAATTATTTCGCAGATAAGTTCCACTTCATATTTTCAAAAAAAAAAATTTTTTCTACAGGAATAATTATCATTTCTTTCCATTTTTCTTATAATAAATTTATAAAAATATTTAAACAAGACCAAAAATCATTTCACCATTATACAAATTTTAAAACTCTTCCTAAAACATTAAAAAAAAAAAATTCTATTTTAGAATTTTAAAAAGGTTTTTTTCTGCAAAGAAAATAAAACGAAAAAGAACAAATTTTGTACTATGATTCGATTTTTTTTTTTTTATTAAACAAATTAAATACAAAAGGTATATCTCTCTCGCTTGAAGTTTCTTTTTTTCGCGTAATATAAATAATTACAAACAACAGAGGCAGTTTATAAATAAAATAAAATTCCACGATTGTGCAAGATGTGCGGAAGAGTTCTAAGTTTTCTGTCTCTGGTGTTTTTCCGTATACAACTTGTACTCAGTGTCGCTAAAAACTAAACTCGAACTTCCAAAAAACATATATATATATAATATATATATATATATATATAATTATAAAGTCGCATATAATCGTAAAACTCATCGTCGAACTATACCAACTTTTTTTTTTCATTTTATTTTACTTTTTCGACTATTTCCTATTACTTTTTACAAAATTCTCAGTCAATTGCACTCCCTAACTTACTCGATCTACGAGCAAAAATTTTATTTCCAATCAAATACGATGTTTGTGGCATAATTTTTAATTTATACATTAAAAAATATTGTACGAAAAAAAAAAATTTTTCGAACTAAATTAAAAATTTAAACGTAAAATGTCAACTCAACAAATTTCCAATAATTTTTTTTTTTTTTTCATTTTTAATAAAAGAATTTAAACGGATTTTCAATTTCTTCAAAACAAACTTTTTTTCTGAATGGGGGGGGCTTTCTATAAAAGCAATAAATATATATATATTTTTTTTTTTTGTATCACCTCGCGAATATTATTCCAAGAAAAAATAAATCGAGCGAGCGGAAGACGATTGAAAATCGCGAAATGCATTTTTTTTGGAATGAAGTCGAGGACATAATGCGCGACGTTTTATTATTATTTTTTTTTAAAAAAGGGAAAAGAGACAGACAGGAAAATGAGAATTGGAAAGACAAATTGATTCTATATAAACAAGTTCACTTTCTTTTCTATAATTAAAAAAGCGCACTCTTAAAATACTCTAAATAAAAGAGAAGTGGAATTATATATATTTTTTAATCTTCGGGGGAGGGAGGGAGGGGGGGGGGTTTCATCGAGAACATTTGGGTTCGAGTTTTTTCTTTTAAAACTTATTACGATATGTACAATGAGATACAATTAATACAAGAATTACGATTATTAACAGCGAAGGAATCGCTGGCTCGATTCTTGAAAAATAATATAATAATAAAAAATAAATTAAACAGAATCAAAAATTCTGTGAGACGTCTTAAAAGGTTAGGCCCTCTTTTCAAAAAGTTCAATCTCACCCCAAAAAAAAAAAAACAAAGGTTTCGTTGAAAAGATTTTTTTTTAATTTCAGGGAAAAAGAATGAAAATCGAGCCATTTCCTTCGTGTCTCAAAAAACTCTAATCTCTTGACTTTATTTTTTCTGTTCTCATTAAATTGAGAATGAGTTTTTCTTTTCTTAAAAAAGAAACACATTTATAAACACAAATTTTTATTTAAACGTAGGAATGATTATTATTTTTTTTTTTTTTTATTTATTTCCTGCTTTTTTATAAATGTGTTTATTTTTCAAGAAGAAAAAATTGCGTTTAAATAGTTACTAAAGTTGTTCATATTGTTCCCTGTTCTTTTTCCCTTGTCTTTCTCTCTTTGCTAAAAACTAAATAGGTACTATACGCTATTTACACCAACTTACATGCTACGGAGTTTTTTTCTTTTTAAAGAACAGACCTAAAAAATATATAATACATACGCCGTCTCGTTACTCAGCGATAAAACGATATTTAACATCTTTGGGCTCGATTTATTACACATTTATATATATATATGTATATATATATTTATGTATATATAAATAACACGCGATCGTGTTTAATCGAAAAATATTTTTCGACAAACACACAAAAAAAAAGAATGTTTATTTAAAAGTTAATTTGTTTAAATAAATCATTTTTAATAATATCAAACATCCTTTCATTTCTTTATATTTAAATAAGAGCCTATCCATATCATTAATCCTGAATAATCAAACAAGTTTCATTATAGAAACATAAAATTGAAAAATTAATTTAAAATTTCAAATCAGAATTCGTGAAATGGATCGATCGCGTCTCTTTTTGATACACGTTCTTTTCAGGGAACGTTCATTATTATTTTTTTTTTTTTTCTTTTTCATACTGACGGTATTGTTTCATTTTATTCGACAATAATAATTAAGATGCAGCTAAAAGGAAGCACTTCCTGTGTATATACTTCCTCAAATTAATTGTCGCTAATTTAATGAAAAATAAGCGAAGAAGAATTGGATGCGGGGTTGGAGAAAAATTAACTAAAGCATTCGACTGGAACACGCCGTCGATTGACATTTTTTTTGTTTTGTGTTTCTAAACCGCCGACACCTGTGCATCTTCGTCATCTGAAACAGGAGAATTATCTTTTATAATTAAATCAGCAAACATTGGAATTTTTTTTTTTTTTAAAAGAATAATCTATTTTGTAATTCTAAAATATTTATTTCTGATTATTCTCGAATAAAAAAAAAAAAAAAAAATTCCTTATCGATTGAGAAAATCGATGATTGAAAGGAGAAAAAAAAATCGTGCACGATGCAAGCAATTTATTTCGAAAAAAAAAAAAATGATTGAATTCACGAATTGTGTAACGTATCAATTTATGCTTTGCGTTCTTAATCACCGGATGCAAGCAAGCGATCATGTGCAAATGGGATGCTGAAAAATTAAATTTTTTTTTTTTTTCATGTGCAAATGCCTTAATTTTATGCGCTTTACACGATATTTATAATACGAATACGACACAAAAACAGTACATTAAATTACAGACACACAGGTGTGACTTATTGTTATTTACAAAAAGAGAGTGTTATATATGTATATAAATAAATTTTATTGTCATTTTTTTAAAAAAAATGAATCACGAATTTGAAGAAATAAAAGGAGATGATTCCCTAAAAATTAGTTTTTTTTTTGTTTTCAAATTTGCAGAATTAGTGTTTATATTTCTTTAAAATGAAATTTTTTAAGGGGTGATATATGTGTGTGTGTTTTTTTTTCTATATAATTATACCATCTTCGTGATCATTCCGGTAGGTGACACCTTCATGACTGTGAGCACGACCGAGCCTGTAAAGCCTTGCCATCTGTGCTGCGGCTTTATATTGCGGTGGTTGACGACATTGAACTGCGCTAACAACAGGACGCATCCCCGCTGATAATGCACCAAGTGGCAAAGGTGGCGGCATACTTAATCCCAAATTGACTGCTACTCCTGTTGAACCTGAAATACCTCGACGCTCTGGTTCTTCGATTCTAAACACGATTCTCTCACACTATTCGACGATCGCAATGTTTCGAAAAAATATATTTTCAAACAAAAATTAAATACAAATATTTACTCATTAAATCGATATATGTAAATTAAATGCAATTATTTATAAAAAATTTTTCAAAGCAATCGATCGTCGAATTTTAAAACGTCACTAATATATAAAAGAACAACAATCTATCACTAGCAAAGGAGAAAACAGAAAACCATAGAAAATTAGTTATAAATCCTACTAAACTAGTCTGCGAGAGATTACACCTGCAAAAGACCATGAATATACAACCCAAACAAATTCCAATTTTAAAGCAAAATAACTATAACGTGCAATTTTTTCATTTTACCAACAAGTATAATCGAACTCCATCTCTAAAAATACTGAAAAAAATATTTTCCCTAGAGATGGAAATGATTATCATTAGAGGATCGAAAAGAAAGTGAAATTAAAGCGGATAAGGAAAATAAATGAAAGCTTAATTTTTTTAAAAAGCCAAAAAGGAAGAGAGAGCGAAAGCGAGGCAGCGACTCACCTTGAGGAGGCGAGATTTGCTGCTGATGATGATAATGTTGATGAAGATGATGGTATTGATGATTGTGATTCTGATTTTGATTGACAGGAAGTGGAGGTAACACTGCTACGGCATGGGGGTAAGGGGGTAGTATTCCACCTCTCAAAACCGATCCTGCTTTGCAATAATATACAAACGACTCAAAAAAAAAAATTTCTAATACAATTTTTATATTTTTTTTTTCTCGAAAAAGATCGTTTTTTTTTTTTTTTAATTTATCATCACGTCAACAAAAAGCGAAGCTTCATTAAAGCAATAATCAAGACAGCTTAAGCAGATTTATAAATTTTAAAAATATTTCAATTTCAAATAAGAGACTTTTTTTATTTATTTAATTTCAATTTTTTTTTGAAATCTTAGAAAAAATTAAATAGAAAAGTATGAAAATTTTTCAAAATTTAACGAAAATAATCAAATAATTTTACAAAACTACATAGATGGAAAAAAAAATCAAATTTTCTATTAGTAAAATATGAAACTACTGGTAATTTTTTTTTTTAATCTATAGGGCTACGATGCCAAAATTGTATACAATTCTACAGTTGGATATTAAGAGGAAGCCAAGAAGAATGAATTTGTAGTTGTTTTTTTTTTTTTATTACGCAATTACATACCTTGCAAGGCGGAGTGTCGTCTCTGTGGTGGAGGTGGACTTCCACCGGCCTCGACGCTGCTTCCACTGTGGCTGTCCAGCTGTGTACTATGACCGCTGTCACTGCTTGTCACCGAACCTACACACGTCCCCAAGATACTTCTATATAACTACTCAATTTATATCTAGCCCATTTCTACAAAAAATTCTTCATCTTCATTTCACATTTTTTTTTTTTTTTTTTAGGTCACATGAATTTACGATAAAAATAATTTCAACAAATTATCAGTATTCCATTGTTTCAAATTAATATATAAAATTAGAAAAAAAAAATTTAGTTTTATTATAATACTTTAAAATAATATTTCCAGAATGTTTTATCTAGACGAATTATCAGTTAACTGAATTATTTTAAGCAAAATAAATTAATTGATCAATTTTTAAATTTGCGCCGAAATATTTCGGTTTTTTTTAATTAAATGAAAAATAAGAATTAATTCGTGCAAATAGAAATTTATACAAAAATAAAGATTCGAGGAAACAGAACGATTCGACTTAAAATTCACGTAAACTGTAATTTTTTTAACTAGTCATGCAGTTAAATAAAATTCTAAAATCAGAAAATTCTTTTAAATAACAGTTAAGTGCTACAAAAAATTTCTAACAGTTGTTCTGCATTTTTAAATATATCATAAATGATGATTTAAACAAATAATAATTCAGTTAACTGCTAATTCGTCTAAATATTCTGGAAATATTATTTTAGTGATAAAACTAAAATATATATTTCTAATTTTGTACATTTTGCTTAATTTGAAAGCGTATTTTTAATTATTCATTTGAAACAATATTGAGAATTCGTAATACCGATAATTTGTTTAAAATGATTTTTATGCATAAATTGATGCGCCTCATTATTTTTCATACACACAAAAAACAAAGTGAATGAACTATTATTTTTGAAACAAATATATTATTATTATATAGGTAACGTATTTATTTAATAAACATTTTTTTTGTTTTTTTATTTTAATAAATAATTAAGGAGGTTTAATTGTTTTAAAAATTGATATTCAAGCCGTTTTTTCGGAATTTTTTAAAAAGGAAACTACTGGAAATTTTCTTCCAAATCTTCCATCTTTTTGTTTGTTTATTTTTTTAATAATTATGTTTTTTTATTTTAAACTCCAATGACCGATGCGATTGTGAATCTTGTCCACAATTTAAAATTGTCATTTTTGAGACAATTTAAAAAAATTTTGAAACTATAAACTATTTAAAAAATAAACAAAGAAAATGGAAATTTTTGTTAATGTCATTTTAAATAATTCTTAAAATACTGTTTGAAAATCGATTATATAACAGACCCCTTGAGACAGAAACATTTGTATGGTAAACAAAAGTGACCATTAATGAATGATATAATTTTCAAAAATAATTTTCTTCAATATTTAACATTTGGAAATAGAAATTTTAAATATATATTATTTTTAAAAACAAAATCTCGTCATGACTTTTTGCACCGCATTCGTATCACGACAACAAAATTCTCGAAATCGAAAATATTAAAATACAAAGAAAAGAATTTTTAAATTTCCTTTATAAACGAATAGGATTGGGAATTATGAAAACGACGTAGATGAAGATGATGATGATGACGATGTACCTGTGAGTTCATTGAAATAACAAAGCGCGAACTTGAGGAGCGTACAAAATGCGTGTGCAAAGTGATTATTATAAAAACGAAATGACAAGGAACATTTATGATTAAAATTGCGATACGGCGGTGCAGCGTGCAAAACAATGAAAAAAAAAAAAATAATAATAATCCCCGTATTTGTGTACATGACGAGTGTATAAAACGAGGGTGCAATATTGCGCTTCCAAAATTAAATGTCGAAAAAGTTTTTGAATAAAAGCATCATTAATTTGCAAGCACTAGAATTTGGAAGCGTGTTTCAAAAATTGAAAAATAATAATATTTCGAGATTTTTTTTTTTTTTTTTTGATAGAAACTTACCACTAGTAAGCGTTTTTCTCAATGGTTGAAGATTGCTGAGACTCGTAACGCTACTACTCTCGGCGCTAAGATCCACAGGTGGCGGAAGTCCCGAGGGTGTGTCGCTGTGTGATCTTTCATGCATGGGAACACGATTTCCAGAACCAACACGTCGTGGCGCTCCAGGACTTGGTTCCAAGCCACTAGTGTGAATCGCCAATCCCGGTACAGGAAGTGGCGGTGGACAATGTTTCGGTTGATAAGGTCGCGTTTTGTGCGGATCCGAAAGTGCGAGCATTTTTCTCACAGCTTGCGGTGATGCCGCTCCAAATTTTGTACCTGAGGAAAAAGACAATTTCGTTGTAGTTTCTTCTTTTCTTTTTTTTTTTCATGAATTTGAATCTTTACTTAAAAAACAAGAAATTTAATATAAAGATGCACAAATTCATGTGAAAATGAAAAATAAAAAATAGAGCAAGGTGGTGAAAAACCTTGTATGCTCTTTCTGCCCTCACTGGTACTACTGGCGCTGCTGGTTGTCGACAACGTTGGTGAAGGATGTCGTCGTCCTCTACTTCCGGCGAGTGGTACCGCAGCAGCAATTGCAACTGCACCCGCATGTGGTTCACAATCCGTCGATAGTGCATGCAATTTTTCCTCGTCCGTGATTACTTTCATATTAGCCAAATAAGCCTTCACTCGTCTCACCATTTGTGCCTCTTCAAACATTTTCTTTTGATTTGGTACTGCTGTCGATTTTTTCCGTCTTTTCACCGTTGCCGTTTGCCCACCTGAAAAAACAACACCATTTCATATAAAGACATGAATTGAATTAAGAAAATAAATTATTTCAATAATAATAATTTGGCTAACCTTGATTTCCCGTTGTCATTTGATTTAAAGCAACCATCGCTGAACTTGGCGGCTGTCCGCCTCTTTCCAACATTGTCAAAAGATCGTAAGGCGACGAGCACATATTCGTCAAGGTCCTCACCTCCTTGGCGATCATTCGTAGTTTTTCGAAATTAACGAGATTTTCCACCCTCGAATCATTGCCCAAATGTATGAAGGTCAAGTCTTTTTTAACCACCGGATAAAACGGAATCTTAAAAACAAAATTCTCAAATTAGCGAACAATTTGAAAAAAATAATAAGACAAACATAAAAGAAGAAAATACAAATACGATTCTTACGATTGGCGGTTGTGTTTGTTCAGAGGCCACGAGTTGTCGATATTTGCTCATATTTCGACTTGGATCCATGAGCTCTTGCAAATCACTAAACAGTCTTTGATATTTGCTGGGCAATTTTTCCCAGGATGCTCTTAACCTAGATACTGCACCGTGGCCTAAACCAGATACAATTGCGAACATTGAATTGAAATTTTTACACTCTTTGCATTGACCTGAAATGAAAATTTAAATATTAATAATTTGCATTATTTATTTTTATTATTTTCCATTGGTTTTTTGTTATCAAAAAAAAATAAACTTACGTGCAATTTTGATGAATTGTTTAATAATTTTGCTACGCCTAACCAAATTATGCTCAGAGCAAACTTCCGTGACAACCCAGAACATTTCTCTATTGACTAGTTCTGCAAATTGGCTGAGCATAGGAATTCCGTACCTACTTTTTAATTCGAAAAGATCGTCCACATATTCCGTGGATTCAATTTGTCTACAATGGAAAAATTACAATTACAATTACAATTACAATTACAATGGTAAATTATAATTAAAAAAATACAATTGTAGAAAAAATTTACCTGAATATACTAAAATCTTGCAAAGTAAGTTGAATCGCAACTTCGACTGCGTTCAATTGAAGAAAATGAACCTGAGACTCTCGAATGAGTTCTGGCGCCTGATCGTCGGCAACAAGAGTTTCCGATATACCATTTGTTTTCAAATAATATCGCGAACTAAGACCAATTCGTTCAGCGAGATTTTGCAATTGATCCGGTAGTCGACGTTGTTTAATCATTCCCCCCTCGCCGACACTCACTTCCGCTAATGAAAAATTCGAACTACTTTCAGTTATTCCGAATTCCTGTAGTGCCAACATCACAACCTAGGGAAAAAAGAAAATTTAGTTTACAAATATAAAATACAAATGAAGAAAAAACAAACAAATTACCTCGTGAGCTGTTGTTTCCTTGTGAACCAAAAGATATTTGCATGTCTGATCAGCTTTATAAACTTTGAGAACATGCTCCGGATATTCAGGAGCTCGAAGATCATCATAGCAATAAAGTGACGTGAGATCAGGATTGCTTCTCGAGTGATAAAGATTTGTTGTCGTTTGCGTGAGACCTGTACCTGGTGGTGTGTGCGGTGGTCCCAATGGATCGTCCACGTGAATGCCATCGCTTCAAAAAAAAATCACAATATTTAATAAATAAAATCAATTTTTCCACTTATTTGATTACTTACTTGATTGTATTCTTTGGCAAAATATTCATTTTCATTAAAGCTTTCTGTAATCGTCTCTTGGGTCCAAGTGTCATAAAACCCTTGTGCTCTTTTTTTGTATCCTTACATGGTGACACATTACTGTCGGGCAGCAAAAGAGGAACACCACCCACCAATGGATTAAGTGGATTAACAGGCGTGATGGGATCAACGTGTGTTGAAAGTCTTGCACGTGGATCTGTTGGCAGTCTCGGTATCTCTGGCTTATTTGCTCTACCTCGTGGTCTTGGCGAATTATCCGGCATTTGTAACATTTCCTTAAACGCTAATAAATTAGATTTCACAGTGATGCTAAGATGCGTTGATCCACGTAAAATTTCCAATGCTCGCGCATGATTAACATGCTCAAAACTTTGTCCATTAACTTCTAATATTTGATCACCACGTTTTAAACCAACATCCTCGGCTTTTGATTTTTTATCAACTTTCGAAATAAAAATACCAAAACCACGTTCATATCCACCCAATATACTAAAATGAAGCACCTCATCTCGACTTGGCCTTGCCAATGTGACATTTCGCGTTCTCGCCTTAGCCGCACATGCAATATTCAATAATCTCTGTTGACCCTGCATTTTTTCTCTCTCAAGACCAGTTTCAAACGCCTCAAGAAATTCCATCATCGCCGGATCTGTTTCAAAATCCGTAAAATGATTATTCACCCAAAGAAGAACAACCCGTGCAACACAATCACGAACTTGTGGTTGTTCAAACCATTCTAATAATTGATTTGCGACTAGAAGTGGACTGTTGATAAATGTACGATGTGTTAAGAGAAAATCTTCAACATAATTCGGATCTGTAATACTGTTTTCCTCAATGAGTTGCATCATTAATCTTTCCGGTGTACCACGAATTACAACATAGCCACGACGCGATGCACCGTCCAATGCACCTCTCAATTCAGTGACAAGTACAACTCTTCCATTTTCCTCATGTCGTCGTGTATTCTCCTCGCCTTGATGTTGAATACGAAAATAATCAGCTTGCGTTATACAAACAAATTGACAATCATCGCATTTTGTTCTCATAACACCACGATGTTTTAATTTATCCATTGTTGGCAATGTACCAAAACTATCACCAAGATGAAGTTGTTCAATTTCTCCATTACTGTGTTCAATTTCAACGGCTCCATTAATTAATACACTCCAACTATCAAGATCTTCACCGTCAGCTAAAACAACCATTCCAGCTCTTTCAACAACAGCAAATACCATCACAGCACATAAAGCCCTTCTTACTGCAAGTGTCATATTTGTAAATGCTTTTAAATGTTGTGTGAATTCAAGGAGAATTTCTATATCATCTTCCGAACGTTCCTGAGGATCTTTTTCCAGGCATTCACGAACTGTATCACGCACAGTCAAACTCTGAAATGAAAATTTCCAATTTAATCCAATTATTTTTAATTATTATGGGAAGAAAAATTGTTCTAAAACCTACATCCATGCTTTCGGCAAGATCTTCCTCCTCATCAGAGTCAACTATCGACTCAACTAAGCCAGAAAGATCCACTTCGTCGGGATCGGCGTCCAAGGAACTTTGTACGGACGTCATTGTATCAGATCCACTGTACGCCGAACTTGTGTCACTCGAGTGACTACTTCTGTTTGATTTTTGATACAGTTCCGGCCTGCCTGTCAGGCCCTGCGAAAACTGTAACAAACAAAAATAACAGTTATTAAACAAATTTTGCTATTTAGACAAGAAAAAAACATAAGATATTCCGATAAATAAAGAAACGATTCTCATTATAGGCCTCGAATCGACTTTAAGGCACAAAAAAAGTCAATTTTTATTCCAAAAAAAAGTTTTTTTATTTTAACAAAATTTTATTGGTTAATCAATACATATTACAATAAATAATCAATAAATATTACTTTAAATAACTTAGATATTAAATTCATTTTATTAATTCTGTAATGAGAATAATTCTATAATAAATATTATCAAGAAAATTTATTTCGAATATTTCAGAATCGAATTAATTGTAAGACAAATTATCAAAATTTTATTTAAGTAGGACAAATTCCTAAAAAAAAAAATCTAAAAGTTTCATTTTTATAATTTTTTCAAGTCTGATTTATGCAATTTATTCTAATTAAAAACTTTGTCATTGTTATTAGTTTTTGATGGTGAAAAAAATTTCAGGCAATACTTAATCAAGTTTTACAGATTTTTAAATAAAAATTTTGGAAATTTTTTAAAATAATTGAATTTCAAAAGATTTTGTTAATTTTCAAACAATAATTATTAAATTTTACAGAAACTAAAAATAATTTATCAAATAATTTTAGATAACATTTTTTTTTTAAAAGTAATTAAATTTTCAAAGATTTACAGACAAAAATACAATAATTTGAAAACTTTTTAAGTGAAAAATGATTTCAGATAGTTGAATTATCGAAGAATATTAATAAAAATCATTAAAAATAATTGAATTTCAGGAGAGTTATAATTGAAATTATTAAATTTCAAAAAATTTTAGATGGAAAATTTTAGAAATAATTAAATTTTAGAAGCTTTTAAATTGAAATTTTTGAAAATAATTGAATTTCAAAAGATTGTGTTAAATTTCAGACAATATAATTATAATAAGAGAAATTTTTAGTGATTTCTGTTGATGAAGAATTTATTAGAAATCATATACAAAAATTGAATTCCAAAAGTTTTTAATTAAATTTTCGAAGAATATTATAAAAATCATTAAAAATAATTGAAATTATTGCAAACAATTAAATTTCAAGTGATTTTGAAATAAAATTTTTGATAATTTCCGTTGATTTTTTTTTTTAAATTTCATAAATTCTTTAATTCAACAAATAGTTTAAGATAATTGAATTTGTGAAGAATTTCATTAAAATTATTTAAAATAATAAATTTAGTGATGAATTTTAGTTAAAAATTTGTTAAATAATTGAAATAAAGAAGATCTGCATTGTATACTAAAAAAACCATATTTTATTTAAAAATTAAAAAAAAAAAATGTACAAAAAGTCACATTTTATTAAAATAAATCAAAAAAAGTCGGAAAGATCAATATAATTTTTTTAAAACTCGAAATCGTTGGCCCTTAAATAAAAAAAAAACTTTGAATTTTACTTTTCTGTAAGTATTTATTTTTATAATAAAGAATATGTGAAAATACCTGATAGAAAAATGAGATTCAAATTTTTATTATTTTGAATTTACGGGCCAGTGATTTTTAGTTTAAAAAAAAATTATAACCGGTTCTTTAATCGGGAACCATTAATTAAAAATAAAACATTAATTTGTTATTAATTACATAATTAATTTTTTCCGACATATTAAATTTTTGAAAACTGACTTCAAATTCGTAATTAGCGATTCAAAAATCTCCCAAATAACAAATTAGAATATTTATTTATTATTCGAATACAATTATTTGAATGAAACAAACTTTCTTTAAAATAACCAAACAATTGAATTAATACCAAAAAATGGGTATATTTGATTCAAAACAAAATTTATTCCTGAGTGAACGAAAAATAAAATAGTCTATAAAATAATAAATATCCATTTGAAAGAAAATTTAAAAATTGCAAAAGTAATAAACGATCCAAAGGTCGTTGGTCGGAAAGAATGAAATAATGATTCTGTCCTTGTCTATATATGTGAATCAGAATTCAAGTTCGGGCAAACTTCAAAGAGACATCTAATTCCAAGTCTATCAGACTATACAGCTATTCATAAAGAATGAGAGCGTGAGTAAGAGACGAAATAATTGAAATTGGATCAATGAATCTTACGAGAAGTCTCTGCATCTCTTTCTCTCCTGAATAGAAATAGGAAATACCAGGAATGGGCGTGAGGCGTGATTGGGATGGGAGTTGTATTGGTAAGTTAGGTTAGGACGCTTGTCATGACATCACGCAACACCAACGGCATTCAAGCACCCACACAATTACACATTCGTGTATATACAAAGATTTGTGAGAGGTAAGATACAGAGAGGGGATAGGGGTGAAAGATAAAGAGAGAGAGAGAGAGTAAGACAAGAAACAAAAACATCAGTACCTGTCACTTTACTCCAAAAAAAAAAATTCTTTTTGACAGGACCTTTATGGATTAGTAAATACACATGAATTGCCGCCATGAAAAATGAAGGATTCAAAAAGAATTTTATTTTACTGAAAATGTTAACAAGAACATTAAATCTTGTGCAAGTTTTTGTATATAAATATACTCACTTGATACATGCCAAATGCATCCATTTTTTCAATACCGGTGCATACAACTTCCCAATTCATTGGTGTACGTCAACGCCATTCAATATTCATTCATGGCGACGACAATTTTCCATATTTTCTTTTTTTCTATTTCACCGACTTTCTTTTTTTTTGAAACGGGTCGAATTTAATTTTATCACCACACACAATTTCACTTGAGCCGTGCTCGAGCGATAATTTGTTTTTATTTTTTTATCAAGACAGAAACATGTTTTCCCACAGAACCAAAGTTATGTATCCATTTTGCTATAAGGCTAAGTCGACCACCCGACACAGAGACTAACGGACGAACAACCACGGATCAACTGAGTCCTGGCTCCCTCTACGTTTGTAGAGAAATTTAAAGCAGGGGCGAAAAATTAAGGTGCCATAGAATAACAAAAAGAATAATTCAACTTTTTCACAATAAATTTATAATATTAGAGTGAAAAATTAAAATTTACTTCTACTCAACAATAATGAATAAGTATATTATTAATTTAAAAAAAAAATTTATTTTTAGTATTACAAAATTAAATTATTTTAAAGAAAATTATTAAAAATAATAAATTAAATTATTTATATAAAATAAGTTTTCAGAATTTTTTCCATTCTCAAATATTATTGTTGTCATAAATATATTGTATATTATTGTAAAATTTTTTTTTTGGAAAAGAAGTGTCACGCCTACAGATTATAAAATCATGAATACTTCCGGTCAAAGATTAAATGGATTTTACTGGATTTACTTTAAGTTTATTGTATTATGGTTATACATTGTATTGTATATGTACATCAAAATGTACCCGTTTCTCGGAAGCTACAGGTGGACCACCTCAGGGATACCTCCCATGGTGACGTCCCTGCCCTAAGGTCACGTGACTCTTTCTAATCGGCGGGTGTCTAAAAGCAGTGCCGTCATTGTCAAACCAAAAACCCCTTGTCTTTAACTTTTATTATTTAACAGAAATTCCCCATTAGTATTTTATATACGCATAATAAAATTTATTTTCCCTTTATTTATATTGCAATAAAAATATAATCATAATATAATAACAATAATAGTAAAAATAATAATAAAAAACATAATAATAATAATAATAATAAAAATAATAATATAAATGTGTTGTAATAATAATAATAATAATAATAATAATAATTGTTATTATTATTATTATCATATTACATTAATTTTTTTAAATAGTATGGAAAAAAATGTTTTCTATATTAAATTGGTCATGTGTAATTTATTTTTATTTTTATATTAAAAATTAATGAAATGCATTGGAATAAATTTAATTGTATTTAAGAAAAGTGAACGTAAGTTTAAAAAAAAAAAAATCTGATACTGCTGTGCCACTGATCAGAGGACGCCAGACATAATCCAAATGATGTTTCACGTTCATAGTCTCTGGTTACAATATTCGTCATTGGATACAGTAGGTCGACATTATTTTATTGTATATACGTCAATGAATAATAAACTCACAATCTTTTGATAATAAAATCCTATAAATTATTCCGTTCATACAAAAAATCAAGTTTGAAAAAAGGAATCAGACTTTGTTTTAAAAATTAATTCTCATTCTATAGTTCTCTATATTACAATTTGCACAAGTTTTTATTAATAAAAAAAAAAAAAAATTATTTTTGTGAAAAATTTAAATAAATTGAAATATTATTATTTCAGATTCTGTAATTTCATTGGTTATTCCAAACAATTATTGAAAAATATTCTAAAAGAGGAAAAAGAAAAATGCGCATAAGAAATATGGGACTCAAATAGAAACGTGCAGTTACCGTCGAAAGAAAGATTTCTCATGATTTATTTGACCCATTATATTATGCTTCTTCAGTCCTCACTTTTCCTTTTTCGACTGGTACCTCTCAATATTATGCACTGTACTTCCCATTCCGTTAAGCTTTTACTTTTTCTTTTTATATATATACAAATAACACAATAAAAGTATAATACTATTTGTTATGCTTATAAACATAAACTGCATTCTTTATATTTCGTAATCCAATTTTCAAACTTTCCAGGTAAGTACATACCCCTTTTGTTTAATTCAAAATTCTTAATGATATTAGCATTCTTATTCTTATTATTTTATTATTATTATTATTATTATTATTATTATTATTTATTATTATTATTAATTATTATTACAATTATATTTTATCATGTTTAACATTTTCTTTAATATTATGTATTGTTTCAATGTTTTAAATTATGTAAAAAAATTAAATTAATTAATTTAAAATTTATTACTGAAAAAAAATTTATTTGATTCAAATACTGGATTACTTGATTATTATCAAAATAAATATTTACTTGAACCAAATAATTTTTATTTGAATGAAATAAATTGAATTTGAACCAATAATTTTTGTATTTGAAATAAATACCATTTAATTAATTCAAATAATTTCTGTATTTGAAACAAATGTAATTTAAATGATTCAAACAATAATTTATTTGATCCAAATAAATATATTTATTTAAAAATAGTCAAGTAATCGAGTATTTGAATCAAATAAATTTTTTTTTTCAGTGTAATATTTAAAATTATTTTGTAATTTTTTGTTTAAAATTGTGTTTCATTATGATTAAAAATTTGTTTAAAAGTATTTTCAATTGTATTTATAAATTATATTTTATTGTTAAAAATTATGTTTAATAATATTCAATTGTTAAGAATTATATTTGATCAAAATTATTTTAAATCAAGTTCCATTATGTTTCAAAATTTGATTATAATTATATTTATTACTGTTATTCAAATTATGTTTATAATTAAATTTCAATTATGTTTATATTTAAATTTCAATTGTGTTTAAAATTGTTTTTTTTTTGTTTAAAATTATATTTTATTAGGTTTAAAAAATTTAGTTTTATTATATTTCACAGTGTTTAAAATTAATTTTAGTTAAAAGTATGTTTTATTATATAGTATTTAAAATTTTTATTATAATTATTTTTAATTCTACTTCATTGAGAAAAAAAAAATTTATTCGATTCAAGTACTCCGTTACCTGATTATTATCAAATTAAATATTAACTTGAACCCAATAATTTTTATTTATGTCAATTAAAATTTTATTTATTTCTAATACAAAAATTATTATTGGATCAAATAAAGTTTATTTAATTTAAATGAAAATTATTTGGTTCAAGTAAATATTTATTTGCTAATAGTAAAAATAACCGATTATTTGAATAAAAAAATTTTTTTTTCAGGTGTTCAAATTATATGTTTTATTGTTTAAAATTATGATTTAAAGTTATTTTGAAATAATGTTCAATAGATTTGATTATAATTATGTTTATTACTGTTTTAAATTATTTTTATAATTATATTAAATTGTTTTTGAAATTTTTTTTAAATTCTATTTTGCTATTTTATTAAGTTTAAAATTATGATTATAATTATGCAAATTTGTATTTTAAATTACTTTTACTGGTTCAAATTATGTTTAAAATAATTATTAATTATGTTTAAAATTTTGTTTAAAATTTAATAATTACGTTTACTTATGTTTCATTGTTTAAAAATTTATTTCATTGTTTATGTTCATAATATTGAGTTGAAAATTATTTCTTAGTTTAAGAATTATATTTAGTCATTGAATTATATTTAAAAACACAACAATTTCTATAGAAATAAAAAGAAAATTGTTTAAAATAAATATTTACAAACAAATACGCGATTGTTTTATTAATTAAAATAATTTATAGGTCAAGTGTTATGGCCCTTATGATTTTCTTAACACTTGAAATTTTGACCAAGCCCTTTCTTTCATCAGATTTATAATATACAAACAGGTAATCTACATATATAGTGAGAATCAACATGGATCGAGTTAAATAAATGCACTACTGCTTGGAAGACAAGGAGGGCGTGTGTGGGAAAGTTTATACAGTCGGTCACGCAACAATGCAAGAAATAATCACAAATGACCACAAAAAAAAAAAGAATTTCTTCTTATCTCACCAATTAATTAAAATATCATTAATAGTGTAATAAAATTAATTAATATTCCAAAAAAATTGAGCCAAAAAAAAATTTTTTTTTCAGTTACACATACCGTTTCATCGAAGACGAGATTGACCTGTCGATGATCCGTAATCGGATGAGGATGTGGAGGTCGATGCATCCTTCCAGTGTGAACCTCCGGATAGTCAATCTGAAAAAAAATAATTTTTTTAAGTCCACTTTTATTTATTTTTTTTTTAATTTTTGTAAATAAAAAAATTTAGTTTTCTAATTTTATAATAAAAAATAAAAATTTCAAATAAATGAAACTTATTTCCGGTTTTATTATATTATTTTATTTTTCCTTAAGTGTCAAGAAAGAAGTTATCTGTCATCATAGGGGGGTGTTTACAATTTGTTTTTATGTCAGCTGTATTAACATTTTACTAGTGAGGATAATATACTCGTGCCACAGTATTTAACTCCTGGGAAGATATCAAACAGTAGTATTTGTTGTAGAGTACAGAAAAAAAGGAACAAAAAAAAAAAAAAAAAAAAAAATGAGAGAGAAAAACAACAGACTCTGGCCGGAACTCGTAGGCCGGACTTCCGGTTGATATAAACGTTTACGCGTTTATTTAAAATCTATCACGATCGAATACTCACAGACACTGATTTCAATATTTTTCAATAATGAAATTTTAATTAATTTTAATTTTTTTTTTAATAATACTAATAATAATATTTTTTTTTTAATTATCGTCCTATAAGAAAAAAAATGTTCCTTAGAAGAAAATTACATTCATAAAAAAAAATTTTCCATAAAATTTCATTTTAAAAGAAAATTAAAAAATGGTTTTATTTCTATTGAAATCTATATTATTCTATTAAAAGTTATTTTAAAAGTATAGTTTCAAAATAATTTTTGGAAATCAGCAAAATAATTTTTAGTTGCAAGCTAATTTTGTTATATTTCAAATATTTGTTCAAATAAATTATAAATAAATAAATAAAATTAAAGAAATAAAAATATAAATTTTTATAAATGAAAATTAATTAAAAATTTATCTTGGTTTTAATTATATGTAAAAAATTATTTTCTATTTTCCTAGATCTTTTTCTATGAGTGGGTCCTTCAACCCTGCGTGGGTGAAATTCCACACGATCATATTTGCGCTCGTAAATGGATGTAAATTTTCATTTTAATATATATAGGCCAAGAGTGTAGAAACAAATATACATTAAAAAAAAAAAAAATTTGTATAGAGATTTATTTTAAATTCAATTATTTTTGACAGAAACCACTTATATTAATCTAAATATTGAAATAAAAATTTATAATTTAAATATAAAATTTTAGTTGTTTCAATATCAAGTATGTTTTTACTAGTTATTAATCAAAAATTAACTTAAAACTAATTTTAAACATAAAAACTACTTGTTATTAAAGGAAACAATATTTTTAATTAAATTTCAATAAAAATTTACATTTTTATTATTTTTACAGTGTAAGAAAAATACAGAACCTAGAATAATAATAATAATAATATTTTTGATTCAAAAATATTATTTCTAATTCAATTATATATTTTTCTTAAATCAATTTATTTTTCATTTATTTATTTTTTTTATTATTTTTTAATTATTTACTTTTTATTATTATCTAAAGTATTTTTTAATTATTCTTTTTTGACTATTTATTTATTTATTTATTTATTTATTTACATGTAAACGGGCTTACAAAGAAAGAAAATTAGAAATTAGAACTATTTATAATTATTCATTATATTATTGTTATTATTAATATTAATATTATTATTATTATTATTATCATTATTTTTATATTATTTGTATTATTTATTATTATTTTTATATATAATCACAAAAAAAATTTTCGTTTAAAAAGTAATTTTCTTTCATATTTTTTTTGACTTATAAATCATTCTGCAAAAAAAAAAAAAAACATTTTCTTTTATTCACTTTATAATAAATGTATTGTTTATCACTGCATATTTGTAATTATTCACAGTATTAAATAACCGGCTTTTGTGCGTCAAAAACTCTTTCAACACCGGCTAAAATTATTTACCATTTACGTCAGAAAAAAAAAAGAATGTTATAACTTTCATGAGGAAATATAAAATATATCGCAAAACGATGATATAAAATAAAATTTACAAATTTTTCTCCAAATATTATTGACAAAATATATATTATATAATAAGAAATAATTTTTCTTATATAACCAGGAAATGAACTAATTTCAAATGTTTATATACTATTACTAATTAGAAAAAATTAATTAAATATAATAATAATACAGTGAAAAAAAAAAATTTATTTGATTCAAATAATCGATTGACTATTATTATCAAATAAATATTTTTATTTATCAAATAATTAATTATTTGAGTCAATTAAATGGTATATTTGTTTTAAATATAAAAAATTATTTTAAATACAATTGACTCAAATAATAATTATTTTGTTCAATTAAATATTTAATTGATAATAATGAAGTAACCGATTGAGTCAAATAAATTTTTTTTTCAGTGTAATAAATTATTATTATCAACATTATTATTACTATTTTTTTTTTTTATTATTACACATTGTAATTATTATTATCTTTTTTGCTTATCGAAAACTTTCTCTAGAATTTGAGGTATTAGTATATACCTTAATGGTACTTTTAATTATTAAAAAAAAAAATAAATTTCAAAATACTCTATTATAGATTACTGAAGTTAAAAATGAAAGTGCCTTTAAGAAAGTTGGGTATATAAAAAAAAATCTGCCAATCAGTAAAATGAACGTAAAATTATTATCTAGGCTCCGATCACTTTTTTTTTCTACTAAATTGACCTCAACATTCTTTCGTCGAAGTATTAAAGAGATAAAATTTTAAGGATTTTGGGATTTTCTTTTATATATATATACCTCTGAAGAGATTACAGAAAGTGTACTCGGTGTTCCAGGCCAACTTCTGGACAGTGAACGACCTCTTTTTGTCCTCATAGTGACCCGAGGTCGACCTGGTCTTCCAGCGTGTTTCAACATTTCTTCACTTCTCAATTTTACACTTCATCAATTTTTTTCAATTTCACGTTGCACATACATATATACACTTATTTTTTATCCATTTTTTTTCCAATAATCACTTTTCGTAATCCATCTTTGGTATTTCATATTTGTTTAGTAAATTTTATCCATAATTTACATCACGTAAGATTTATTATACACTTTTTTTTATCCTTTTTAAAACATTTTATTTCAATAATTATTATTATTATTTAGTATATTAATAATAATAATCACTTCAATCACAATATAATTATTTCACTTATTATTATTATTCGCGCAGTAACCTATATTTATTCAGCAAGATTAGACATTTATCACAACTCTCTTTTCTTTGCAACGATAACAAAAGTTGAATATTTTCACGATTTATTTATTTTTCATTTTTGAAATAACTATATGGAAATTTGGAAAAGAAATATAGGATTTTTTCAAAAAAAAAAGAAAAAAAAACATTGAAAATATAATAAAAATTTTTAAATTGAAAAACAACTTTGTTAAACTATAAAAGCAACGACGAGGTCACTCGCGTACGAGTTCCCAGCGTTTACTGTGGAACGGTTAACCATTCCATGACGCTGTATCAACATGGAAGAGCATGAGAAGCTCGACTCATAAAAACTTGGAGCTGGATGGGTCTCTCTCTCTCTTTCTCGTTTCCCCTCTCTCTTTCTGTATTTATTGCAATGTAAAAGAAAGAGAGAGTGTACTCTCTTCATTTCCACGTGAGTTCTCCCACTATATATAGTGTAGAATTTCTGTGTGGTGTGTAGATGCATTCGCTCATATATGTATACACTAAATACGTGTATAGAGTATATATAGTGTAGAATATAGCAAACCAAGGAACAAGAGACTGAAAAGAGAGACAAGGCAACTTGGAGGAGTTGGTCACGTGACACGAACCGTACGGTTCACACGTGTTAACATACTCTGTTAAATAACTTCAGAGACTTGAAAATGCCTCTAGAAATCAAAATCTAAACTGTTCCAATGAAAAAAAAAACTGTATTAGAATATTCCCTCAAAAAAAAAAAAAAAGAAAAAAAAACAAATACCAATTTTCTTTTATTCAAAGAAATCAATTTCTTTGACCAATTTTTCTTTAATTCAAAGAAATTAATTTCTTTGACCAATTTTTCTTTAATTCAAAGAAATTAATTTCTTTAACAAATTTTTCTTTAATTCAAAGAAATTAATTTCTTTGATAAATTTTTATAGTTGATACAAAAAAAATCTATCTGTTTCAAATAAATTATCTTTGTTTCAAAGAAATTAATTTCTTTGACCAATTTTTCTTTAATTCAAAGAAATTAATTTCTTTGACAAATTTTTCTTTAATTCAAAGAAATTAATTTCTTTGATAAATTTTTATAGTTGATACAAAAAAAATCTATCTGTTTCAAATAAATTATCTTTGTTTCAAACAAATTAATTTCTTTGACCAATTTTTCTTTAATTCAAAGAAATTAATTTCTTTGGCCAATTTTTATTTAATTCAAAGAAATTAATTTCTTTGACAAATTTTTCTTTAATTCAAAGAAATTAATTTCTTTGATAAATTTTTATAGTTGATACAAAAAAAATCTATCTGTTATTCAAATAAATTATCTTTGTTTCAAACAAATTAATTTCATTGACAAATTTTTCTTTGATACAAAGAAAATTTATCTGTTTCAACACCCAGAGAAATGATTTATTTGAACCAAATAAAATATATATTTGATTTAAATAAACATATAGTTGTCACAGAGCCTACTAACTTATTTATTTGGCGTAAATAAAAATTTTATTAATTGTCAGAAATAAATTTTTCTTTGGCTCAAATAAATTTTTTTATTTCAATGAAATGAAATATATTTGCAACAAATAAATGAGTTAGTAGGCTACCATTTCTCTAAGTGAAATAAATTATCTTTTTGTTTTAAACAAATTATCTTTGATTCAAAAAAAAAAAAAAAAATTATCTTCGTTACAAAGAAATTATTTATTTAATGCAAAAAAATTTTTACATTCAAAAAAAAATTTCTCTAAATCAAAGAAATTTTCTTTGAAACTAAAAAGCTCTTTTTTGTTTAATTCAAAGAAAACATTTTTTTTTTTAATAAAAGAAAAAAAGTCAAAGAAATT